ATTGGACACCCTCCAACCTGAGGGGCTCATCTTCCGGCGTCATATCTTTTTGCCTTTTGGTACTGTCCATGGGGTTTTCATGGGAAGGATACTGGAGTGGGTTGCCATTTCCTTCTCCAGTGGATCACCTTTTGTCAGAGCTCTCTGCTATGACCTGTCCATCTTGGGTGGCCCTGCACGGCATGGCTCATAGCTTCGTTGCGCTACACAAGCCCCTTCGCCACGACAAGGCAGTGCTCCATGAAGGGGGCTTGAATGTTTTAGACAGCAGCAATCCGGGAAGCCATGATACAAGCCACTAGAATTTCACATACCTCCAAGGATAGAAATAGCCTGGTTGTCAGAAAGGGGGTCGTGACCGCTTTTCTTTTCCACTGTGTTGGCCAGAATGTTGGAGGGCGGAGGAGGGGGGCTTCTACTGTTTTGCAAGCCAGCAAGAAACATCCAGGTGAACAAGAAATGGAGGGGGAGCCAGTTTCCTCCCTCTCTCATCATCCTAGAGCCCGGGGAGGGGTCTTGCCATGATTCTGAGCGGTGGGAGATTCAGGGCAGATGAAAGGAGAGACTTCGTCACCCAGCATGGAGCTGAACTGTGTAACTCGCTTCCACGAGATGCAAGGATGCCACCCACACAGAGGGCTTTGAAAGAAGGTTGGCTGTGTTCATGGAGGAGAAGTCCATTGATGGACTTCTGTGCTGCCTCCAGGAGCAGAGGCAGTGGCCCATTATGTCAGCTTCTGGGGAACATGGGTGGCAGGGTGTCCATGCACTCACATCTGGCGTGCAGGTTTTCCACGAGCAAGACATGATGGGCCTTATTCTTCTTGTGTTCCAGGATGGCCTGGCTCACATGCCGTCCTCCCCCCCCCCCCCGCGGCAGGTGGGCCCCCATTTTGCCCGCCTTGCAACACAAGTCCAGGGGGGAGGGCTCTGTCCATCTCCAGGGAAAAGATGGCCCCAAAACTGTCCTCCGATTTCCCGGCAGTTTCCTTCCCACATGAGAGAGGCTTCCATTATTTTGCTTCCTTCTGTGGATTTTGTATTTTTGAGGTAGGCTCCCGCAATCGTTTTAGGCCGGCTCCGGGAGGGGCGGGGCTGCACATGTATTTTCCTTTCTATTGGACCTCTCTCCGTTGCGCAGCAGCATCCCAGCCCCCTGCACGTCCCAATCTAAGGATGCACTTCTTCTGTCTCCCTGCCCGCTCTCACTGAAGTGTGGGAAGCCAAGGTGGCAACCGGCTGCTGGAGGGCCGGTAAAGCAGTGCAAAACAGACTTCCGCCTACCCCTCAGCCACCTTCCAAGTGAGGCACCCCAAGAACCCCACGCCTGATCCATCCAGGAGAATCTCTCCGACATGGCCTTCTTTCACCTCCTTTCTGAAAGCAATTTCTTTTCAATCCAATGGAATGAGGAGGGTTGGGTGGAAATGAGGAAGAAATATTCACCACAACACTCACTCAAGGGCAAAGGACTGTGCTGCATCAGGGCAAAAGAGCACCCCCCACCCCATGCATAAAAGGGAGGTACCAAAAGACTCCCCCCACCCCACCCCAGTGGCCTGGACTACCCCCCCCCATCTTCCCTGATCATAAGCCTTGTGGGCTGGGATTGATGAGAGCTGTAGTCCACAGCATCTGATGGACTCTGGCCTGCTTGCCTCTCGCTTAGGGGAACCTCGCTTGGAGAGGTACGAAAGCAACACTCCCCCCACCCCCGGCCCAGCAAGGCTTTGTGCCCTGTGAGGACTGAGAATGCTTATCGCCCATGACATGCTACGTCTTGGTTGGGGGCGTGAATAGGAGCCAAATGGGAGGGGATGGAACGGAATGGAGTATCATGGAGAAAGCCACGGCTGACTGGCCGGCAGAGCCAGAGGAATGGTCGGCGGCAGTATTCAAAGGCATGTCCCACATTGCCTTCAAATCCCAGCCGCTGGGCAGGAAACGGTGGGGAAGGCAGCACTTTCCAACCTGCTTGTGGGCTTCCCTAAAGCATCCAGTGGGCCATTTTTCAAAATAGGACACTAGAGCAGAAAGAGCAGTGGGGGAAACCAGACTTTGTGGACCAGACTGGAAACTCATGAACTGGGGATTCTGCACTCCTACAGCAGATGGACTCCTGGTCTTCAGCATTTAAGCTCATGTTTCTTCAGTTTTATGGGGAAGAACAAAGCCCCCAGATCCATTTGCAAAAGGATTGCAGCACTCCAATTGTTTATAGAATGAAAAATAATCTTAGATTTGCAAATACTTGCTCACTTTCTTTCGTGGCTACAAATTTGTACCAAATCTCACGTTTGCTACGTTTTCTTCCCAAGTGTAGCCTCCCTCATTTTACATTGTGTGCAGCAATTTGCTTTTTAGGGGTTCTATAAATAGTAGACATTACTAGCAGCTCTACCCCCAGTGTGGGTATACACCTATATTTGCGCCCTGTAAAAGGTACACAGCATGTGACCATCCCAAATCCCTTGGCTGCCAGCAATTCACTTGAGCCAAACCATGTGAAAATATTTTACACATGTTCCCGTTAACCTACCCATCACATTCTCGCCTGCCACAAAATTATAGGCCAGACTTGCTCTTTGCCATAGCCGGTGGAGGTGGCATCTCATGCATTCAAGTTCCATGGCATCCCTCTTGCCGTCCTCTTGGGAAACAGTAATTTTGTCCCAAAATACCTGCTACAGTTCAGAAAATCCACAAGTATTCCTCTTGTTTGAGATCCTCTGGAATGTGTGCCATCGTTTTTCTCTGAAAGATGTTGTTTATGCAGATTAGTGTTTTTTTTCCCATCAGCCCTGTTCAAGAGGCACTTTTACAATATCAGTGATGCATGGAGCTTGAAATGTAGCTTGCTTGCTGTTTCGGTAAAAATAAATACAATATAAAAATAAGATAAAACAAAACAGGCTTCTAGCCCTTATGAATGCAAGGCTGCATTTGTAAGTTTTCAGATTGCGCTTGTAAAAGCGCCACATCTGACTTTATCTGGTTTTATCACAACTAGCTAGAAGCAGAATTAAGGTGGTTCCACCGAGCACCACAGTACAATGGCTTATTATTTGGCAGTGTTTTCCTCACAGCAAAATTCCTTCTATAATATTTACTTACAAATAAGTCTCATTTAGCCAAGGTCATTTTCAATGTTAATCAAACACTTCCTCCCTGTAGTTATGTTTATTTTCTTGCTTTAAATCTGGTATGGTTGGGATGAACTGCTCCTTAGCTTTTGCTTTTGCTTTTTTTAAATCCATGCTGTAAAGGCGATAAGAGGGCTGGTTTTCTTGCATTACTTCTGGGTAATAAAGTGGTACAAATCTGCTCTTTTATAAAAGGCAAAGAAAGCAAGAACACTTTTAAGTAAAGTCGCTCCCCTTTGCAGAGAACAAAAACTTAAACAGTGGCAATTCCTCACTAATCCCCTGCTCCTTCGGGAAACAAGAGAGTCCTGAACATGAAAAGAGAATGCATTTATTTATAAAGTTCAGAGGCTGACCAGGTAATGGTCAGGATTCCCCAGCCATGGCCAAGATTTAAGGCTGCCTGGGAAGTTTTGTTTGCGCTGTTTTTGAGCAACAGAACTGTCACATGCTGCAGGGCCTTCTGGGTAGCAGCACCCCAGCTGTCAAACTCCCTTGCAATAGAGATTTGGCTGTGCTGCACGTTATTGTAATTTAGCCAGTAGTTAGACATCTTTATTTGTGTAGACTTCTGACTTACAAGCAAATACTTCATTTGCTTCTTGGTTGATTGTATTAATGGTTTTATCATATTTATCTATACTCATAGTAGAGTATAGCAGACTCCAGGAGTGTTGGATAAGCTCAACATCGGTTAGATCCATCTTTTCAGTCTCGGGACCCACAGGTACCTCCAATCTGCTGCAGGAAGCCCAGACCATGCTGCCCGGGGACTCCAGTCACAATGTCCCATCTGGCTCTTCCTGCATCCCTCGCCAACCCTCAGCATTTCTTCCGAAGCAGGAGGAGAAACTGGTGAGAGGCATATTAGTCCACGTGTGTTTTTTCACTCCCTCCCATGGCCTGCTGGAGTGGAGTCTTCTCTCGGATGCTCCTGGGGCCTGGGCTGATGCTCTTGGGCCATCACAGGCCCAGGAGAAGGCGGCTTCATTGCAGACATACTGCAGATTTCTTAGAGAACATCCCAGCCAACAAACAAAGCAAAGACGAAGAAGTTACAACTGCACTCATTGGGGGGGCTGGAAGCCCTGCCCCTTAACGACCAATTAACCTTTCTGAGGGCACCCCTTTCTGCTAAGTCAGACTTCCCCAACCCGATGCCCTCTGGACATGTCAGACTACAGCAGCCATCATCCCCAGCAGGATAGTCAGAGTGATGGGACATGTAGTCTAAGAATTCACGAGGGCCTCGGGTTGGCAAAAGCTGTACTGAAATGATGGGCCAGTTTGAAATGATGAGCCTCACAGGCTGCCAGTTTGAAGCCACTGCTGCGCAACTGCATCGAGTGCATTTTTAAGACTATGGAATAAAAACTGTAACAGTGAACGGCATCCCTCTGTAGGTGTTTCACTCATGCAAAGCTTCCATTCTTAAGGTCTGAATGGAGAGCCCCTGAGTGCCGGATGAAGACTTTGGCGATGCGGGTTCTAGTCCCTGCTCAGCCATCAAGCTTGCTGGGTGACTCTGGGCCAGGCTCTCCCTCTCAGCCGAGCCTACCTCAAAGGGTTGCTGTGAGGATCAAATGGAGGAGGAGGAGGAGAAAACCCACGCAGGCCCCCTTGGGTTCACTGCAGGAAGGCGATGGTAGGTACAACCATCGCAAAACCCATCCTGCTCGTCAGTTTGCCTTTCCTCATTCTGTACAAACCATTCCCAGGGCAGAGCAAGAGGCGGGCGGCTCAGCCTGGGATCAGTCACTCCTCTGGCTGCCTTCGCAGGCCAACCGCCCCTTGGGCTTCTTTCCGAAGGAGTCCCTCAAGCGAGCGGAGAGAGAGAAGGTCAAGCCCGGCTCCTACCTGAGCTGCTCGCCTGCGATCATGACCTCTGCTCTGTGATGCCTCTCCGTTGCCTTTTGCTTCAGAGCACTGCTCAGGCTCTCCATCCTGCCCTGGAGGTGAGGCAGCCAGGGGAGAAAGCAGAGCGGTGCCTGGCAGGCTTCCTGGCAGCTCCGGCCGGCTTCCCCTGCACCGCTTCGCTTTTCTGCATGCAGCACGGCTCCCTGCCAGAGCCGACTCGCTAGCGCTCCGTTGCCAGAGGCAGCGTGCAGCCGATCTCCGTTTGCCAGGCAGGACGGGGCAGGGAAGGCAGGAGGGCAGGCGGGTGGGCAGGGGCGGGCCCAAGGAAAGGGCTCGGGCAGGGCCTGCCCCCGACTTTCCCCCAGATGTGGCTCCACCTCAGCTGGAAGCAGGTTGGTATGAAGGCGTCCTTTCCTCTCGAGAGGAGAAAAGCGATGCCCAGGATCACGGGAGCAGCTTGCGGGGCCCTGATCAAAGGCCCTGATCAAATGACACCAGCAGCCGGCCAGAAGCCCTGGGGAGCAGCCCAAGTCGGCCAGGAAGGCAAAACCCATCTTCCCCACTGCCCTCCAGCCAGGGGCTGATTATGAGTTCTCCTCATTCTCAGTTTTGTGTGCCAGATGTGATGTGAACACAATACTTAAATGGCAATGCTTGCAACAGTAACACGTCTCACAATCTAGGGTTGGCCTCATTGCCTTTACAGATTTGGAGTCTCCTTATCAACCCAGGATCCAGATTTATAAATGCTTATAATTAATGAATAATAATAATTATTATTATTATATTAATTTACACCCCACCTTTTCCACTTCCCTGTAATTGGGACTCTAAGTGCCTCACAACATTAAAATTCACACAACTAACACATTCAAAAGTATACAAAACTTAAAAATATAATTAAATCAATGAAATATTGAAATTAAACCACTACCAAGATTATAAACACTACATAAATATAAGCAGTAAAACTAGCCCAGCACAAAATCACAAGTGATTCAAAAGGTTTAACCTGCTTACCAAAACCTAACAGGGAAGGTGCTGGGTCAGTTTTCCTAGGACAGGTTCCAGAGCCTTGGGGCAACCAGCAAGAAGGCCCCTCCTGCATCCCCAAGCCTGCACGCGAGGGTTGTGGGACCAAGCAAGATCTTAAGCAGGGTGGAATAGGGGTTGCCCTATTTTACTCAGTGGCTGGAGCACCTGTTTAGCCTCTGTATTCAGCAAAAGGGATGCAGGTGGCGCAGTGGTTTAAACCGCTGTGCTGCTGGGCCGGTTGATCGAAAGGTCGCCGGTTCGAATCTGCACAACGGGGTGAATTCCCGCTGCTCCGTCCCAGCTCCTGCCAACCTTGCAGTTCGAAAGCATGCAAATGCAATTAGATAGAAAGGTGCCACTTCGGTGGGCAGGTAACAGCGTTCCGTGCACCTCGGTGTTGAGGCCCCATCGGTGAGGGTGCTCAAAGATAGGCTGGACATGCACATGGTGGGAATGTCGTGAGTGGAGCCAGCTGGTGCCAGAGGTCAGACTAGATGGCCCAGGAGGCCCCTTCTGACTCACTCTGTTTCTATGTGTTTAGTCATGCCGGCCACATGACCACAGAGACTGTCCATGGACAAACGTTGGCTCCCTTGGCTAGGAAACGGAGATGAGCACCGCCCCCTCGAGTCAGGCATGACTGGACTTAACGTCAAGGGGAAACCTTTACCTTTATTCAGCAAAAACCTTGTTTCGTGTTGTTTAGATGCCACAACATCTTTTTTATAAGGGTTTGCCTGAGTTGGCCAACTACTGTAATACTTCTCTTGTGCATGTGGTTTGGCCATACTGAGAGCTACCTCTTTGTGGACGGAGGCCATAATATGGGTAAGCTTTCTACTGGAACGCTTTTTAATGTTCACAATGCACATGTTTTCTAATATTATTTACCTGCAGTTTGGAAGTTAACACAGGGCCAATGCAAATAGATTTTCTGCACCTTTTTCTGCAAAGCTAAAAGACTGACATTACAGCATTGGAAAGATGAACATCCAACTCCTTTCATGCACTATTTTAATATTCATATAGGTGATCTTTAGATGCCACCTGCAAATAGATATTTGCTCTGCCTTTTTGAAGCTTATGCATAACTCTTACTGTTGATAGCATCATTTAAACATACATTATGATTCCCTTTTGTTGAAATACACAATAAAAACTGATATAAAATAATTGAATTCCATAAAAATGGTATACACATCAGTGGTGTGGTATGTATAAGACAAAAAAAGCACTGGGTTCCGCAGTTGGACTCACATATAAGTTGGGCTTCACCAGAAACCATTTAGGTATTAGAGCTATTTGATTTCTACCTCAACTTTCTATGAAAGTATGGCACCAAAGGTGACTTACAAAACCATTTAAAGTAGATTAAACAAGTAAAACATGTTAGAATGCAATAAAAAATGTTGCAATTACACAATAAAAATAGCACCAGGATGGTCTGTGGATTTAACTGTGTTGTATCTCCCTGCTATAATGTTGGTTCATGGTGGGCAGCTGACTGGGGGAGGGAGGTGGAAATGGTAATTTAATACCAGTGTGGTGCAGTGGTTAGGAGCCTGGGACTGGGACTCAGATGATCCGGGTTCGAGTCCCCGCTCAGCCATGGAGCCAACTGGGTGACTTTGGGCCAATCACAGACTCTCAGCCCAACCTACCTCACAGGGTGGTTGTTGTGGGGATAAGATGGAGGAGGAGAATGATGTCAGCTGCCTTGAGCCCTTTGTAGGAAAAAGGTAGGATATAAATCGAAAAATATAAATAAATAAATACCACAAGCATGGTTGAATGCCCATGGATTCAAACCCAGACTTCAGATGCAATGCTCAAGGCCAGCCTGGAATAATCATATACTGGAAGTCATTTCCAAACTTTGGTAAATACTTATCCAACACAAACTGAAATTAAAATTTCACCCACCTCTATTGCTAACTCCAGCGGGCTGGAGTATTTAGATGCTCAGGTGCACCCAGGCTAAGGATGGAGATCTGGTGCAGTTATGTAAGAAGAGCAGAAAAGCCCTGCTGGATCAGACGAAGGTGCATCTTTTCCAGCACTCTGCACACACAGTGGCAAACCAGCTGCCCACAGGATGCCACAAGCAGGATGCGGGCAAGACCTCCTCCCGTCCAAGCTCCTCGCAACTGGTGTGTGCAGGCAGGTGCCCTCCGATGGAGGTGGCAGCACGTGGCCAGCTAGTAGCCCTTGTAAACCTGTCCAATCCCCTTTTAAGACAGCCAGATCGGCTGCTATCCCGACTTCCCACGGCAGCAAGCTCCACACGCTGTGTGAAAAAGTCCTTCGTTTTGACCGTCGGAGTGAAGCGACCGCACCTCCTCAGCCCACAAGTGGTCTCGATCCCTTGGGGTTGATCAGACGAGGTGCCGGGCAGGGCTTCTTGCGGTGGCCCTTGCTGCACGTGTCCCAGAGGGTGCTGTTCAGCATGCAGTCTTTGCAAAGCACATTGCATGCAACCTGGTTTTTAAATCAGCCTTAGAGTCCGGCGATAATGTGGCGTGATCCTTGTGAGCCTTCATCCCCAGAGCACGCAGTCTGGGTTTCGGTGAGAACAGAGCAAAGGGTTTATTTTTAAAGGCAGTCAAACTACAGAGCAAGAAGCAGTTTACAGTGATAGTTCAGTGGCAAACATCCAAGAAAACAGAACAATACAGACTAGTTATGCCCAGGTTTTCATTAAGATCTCTGCCTGATCCCTTGAAGAACCTGGTACCAGTCTCAGGCCTTGCCTTCTTCTGGAAGACCTGCAGGCTAGCTAGCACCTGTGCTTTAGGAAGGACTTTGCACTTCCTTTCCTAGTGGAAGATCTCTCTTTGGATCCCTTCCTGAGTGAGGTTCCCCAAAGAATCAGGCAGATTCTTGGTCCACAGTTGGGTTCTCCAAGATTCCCCGCAGTTTGTTTGTTTGTTTATTTCAGTGCTGCCCCATAAGCTAAAAGTTCTCTGCATGGCTTACAAATACTAAAACAGCATAAAGACACAGATAGAAGATTAAAACTATTGATCACCTGATAAAATAGATGAAACAATAGATAACGTCACATAAAAAAATATACCCATAAACACCAATAAGCACAATGAATGAATAAGCCAAGATTAAATTCAAATAAACAATCTATAACAAGGGATAAAAACATTAAATTTAATTAATTAACCCAAAACTCGTTCAAATGAAAAAGTTTTCAGCTGCCACCTAAAAGAAAGAACAGTTGGTACCAGCTGTATATCCTGGGGGAATTCTTGAATTCCAGAATCTAGGCGCTGTTGCCAAGAATCCAAGCCTTTTCACTAGGGGAGGGCACTCAGAGGAGGACCTCCAAAGAGGATCTAAGTGGACAGGTAGGAATATATGGAGAAAGGTGCTCCCTCAGGTGCCCTGGTCCCAAGCTTTAGGGCTTTATCCGTCAAAGACAACACCTGGAATTGGGCCCGGGCTGGAACAGGGAGCTGGTGGAGGACTGGCATAATATGTCCTTGCCAGCCTGTTTGGGCATGTGGGTGATCGGGTTTGTGATTTTTGCCTACCTTGTGTTAGCTACAGGTATGTCCAGGTAGGGCTGGGACAAAGCTTACCAGAATCTGTCCCTCCAGCATTGAGAAACTTCCTCTCATGCTCAGCTCAGTCTTGCAAAGGTAGCCAAGTCAAGAGGAAGTCAGTCAACAAATGACATACCAAAGCTTGGGCAACCAAGAACCTTCTTCCACAGCAGGTGCAGAAGAAGGTTGCTGAGAGGGATGGTGCCAGAAAAGCAGCCCCATGTGCCTGCTGTCCAACAGTACCCCTCTTCCACATCAGGTGCAGCACCACAAATGACAGAAGAGGGGTGCCACTAGCATACGGGGCATGCCTGGCAAGCACCCCACAAATGCAGGGCACGTGCGCCAGGAATTCAAACTCGGGGCTGTGAGGAAGCAGATCAGAGTCCAGGAAGCCAAGCTCAGGGTTAGGGTTAGGGTTAGGGTCCAATATGGGCTCCCCCACTTCCCTGACTTACAATGCCAGCATCTGTGGGATTCAGCAGAGGTGGAGGACTGCTTGTAAAGCTGAGGTTTCTTCCACTTGGACATGGGTAAGATGGATTCGGTATGGTTAGGCTGGGTGGCCAGCTGCAGGCTAACTATAAAACCGTAGCCTCCCAGAGGTGTGCCTTAAGATGGACAGGCCAGGCTTCGTAGGTGGCCCAGGTGAAGAGTAAGGAATTCCAGAAATGCAGTTAGGAAAAGAACTGCACCAAAAGCAATGCAGCCCGAGAGAGAGCAGCAGTCTGGGGAAGGGACGGAGGATACGTGATGTTACACGAGTCATATTTTTAATTAGAAAACTAATACAGCCGCTATCAGCCAGATGCCCAGCGTAATTACATAAACCCTAATAGCTGCATCTGGTGGACGTCACCCTCTGCAGACATGCTGCTCTGGTTCACAAGCAGCCTTCATCAGCAGCAGCAAGAGGCCTTGCTTGTCCACTTCAGTGCATGCATTCAGAACAAAACAGGACCTTTAAAAGCCATCATGGGGATGGGTGGGGAATAAAAACCACGGGTCGTCAACCCAGGAAGGCTTCGCGAAATAAAGACCTATTCATCAGGCCCCCAAAACAGCACGATGAACAGATTCGCATAGATTACACCAACCCACCTAGCGACCGTGATCTGGCAGCTGTGTGAGCAACCGGTGGTGAAACCAGCAGACAGCCGGCCTCATGGGCAGCTGTTGGCTCCTTCTGCTTGGCCTTCCTCACTTGGTCCTCCCAGCAGTATCCCAGAATAGTCTCTCCATTCCCTGCCGTGATCGTGAGCAGATTTCAGCTCCCTGTAGCTTTTGTGCAGTTTTTTCTCTTCTCTTGCCTATTTTGTGCAGTTTATCTTTGCTTTTGTGTGTGTGTGCAGTGTACCTTTGCTTTATTTGCTTCAGAGATTGCAAAAGATAGTGTGGCAGAAGCTTTTGTGATTCACATCTTGGCGCTGCCGAGCCCTTCAGAGTTCCCAAGGAGCACCTTGGCAGGGCTGTCTGTGACTGGGAGACATTTTCCTTTCTCTCTCTCAGCAAAAACCAATTTGCACACCTTTTTATTTTTTAATTATTTTAGTCGCAACTGTTCAACTGCAGGGATCTGAAGCCTCAGCTGGAGCAACATCTGGAAGGCTGAAATGCTTGGAAGGATGCAATGCTTCTCAGGCTTCAGGACTGGCAGGAAGGATTTGAAGCGGAAAGAGGAAGGTCTTCCTGGTATTTTGGTGCTGTCTGCTTTGCCTTCAGCTCCATCAAGCACTGGTATCTGGTCCTGGAGAGCGTATTCATGCAGCTCTCAAGCTGGAAAGGGCTTCTCACCCATTTTACAGCTTTTAAAGAGGGTGGGGAGGAAAGCAGCATGGTGTATTTTTGTCTGAGCCTTATGTACTGAACACATTCATGTTCTGTTGGAAGAGAAGTGGCTGGGATTGGAATAAAAAGGGTTGGAGCCCATGCAATATCCAAGTTCAACCCCACATAATCAATCCTTTTGGCAGGGTACCAGCTGTACAGTGGCTCCTGCTTTGATGGGCCAACCAGTGTCTTATCACTTAGACTCTTATTTTATTTGAGCATAAAACGCCATAATCCATCAAATAGTATTGAAGTTTTACGTCAGATACACATGGATAAAAAGATATACAGGGATAGTTCACCCTCTAAAGAAAAGGGCTTCAGCAAGCATGTGAAAATCAATACTGTAGATGTTTGCTGGATGTCAGCAATGAGGGAATTCTATCCCTATTTATTATGCTTTTATAAATGTCTGAGTCTTTAAGATGGTCAAAGGCATTCTCATGTTCTCTCTCCTATAAAGCTATTCAAAATTTACCAGCATTGAAGTATTTTTGAAACGTATTCCAGATAGTAAAAATCTGCCCTCTGGTGGCCAGAGAGGGAACAACACAGTGTATAGACCCCCACTTTGAATACCAGAGGCTGGAGAAAGGCAAAACAATCACTTTTACGTCCTACACGTGACTGCTGGCATCTGGCTATTGTTTGGAAACAAAATAGTGGCTGACGAATCTGAAATCAATGTTGGCTTATTGCCAGTCCTTGCACTGGTATTTTCTGAGTTAAGCTCTTATTCCCTTACCACATCCACTGTTTTGTCGTCATTGTCATTTTTTGGAGGGGGGAAGAATAGTTAAAATAAATGGCCACCAGGGCAAGTTGAACTGGCAAAGTGCTCTCAGGGCATTTCAAGGCTACTGTGTCTTTAATTAGAAACTTCCAACTTTCTAGTTCTAGCCCTATGATTTCACTTCCTGATTAGTATGGTAACAGAATTACCAATGAATAGTCCCTTCATTTCCCTTAGTTGAAAGTAACTTTCAATTAATTGCTTTCAGTCCAAACCTTAGTATATAAGAGCAGGCTATTCATCCATCAGCCTTCCTCAGAAAGCAATAAAAGGGGGCAGAAACTGCTAGGACACTGTTTTAATTAAAGGATGTGGGGGACTTTTGTTGAATGAGACCAGCTCCTGAGAAAAGTATTACAGGACAATGGAATTATGGTTTGCTGGAAGCAACAGGACAGTATTAATGATCACCTAGAAGTACCATTTGAATTCTACTTTCAGTGGGAAGGAGAGCAATTCCTTAATGGTAGTGAGGTAGGGAAGCAAGCCCAGGGAGACATCTTTGATCTGATCCAGCATGTCCAAAGACGAACTAGCGGTGGGCAGACAGCATGCCAGTTCCAAGGTGGGTCAGACAACAGAGGATGAGCAGCTTCCTCATGGCTTTGCACTCATCTTAAAAGTAGTTCTAAGGCCACACCAAGCTGGCAGCCACATCATCAAGGATAGTCCATTAGTCTAGTCGGCTGTGTTGATCTGTACACAAACCAATTCCAACTATTTTCATCTCTTTTGTAAAGGGAATGGGACTTAAATGGCCATTCAAGACCCCATTACCCAAAAATCTTGCATTACTACTGAGATAGTTCACAACAAAGTTCAGTTGCTGGAAAAAAAATCGGTTCATCCCAGCTACGAGGAATATTTCAGTAGTCAGAGGAAAGCGGGGAGGGAGGGAATTCATCCTGCGAAATCTTGTCAAAGGGCAGCAAAATGCTCATTATACGTTGTGCATAAGAGACATCATGTGTGTGCAGGTACGTCCAGTTGCCTCTGCTCCTAAGATAGGAATGTCAGTTGCCTGCTGCTATCAATCCCACCACTCTCACCACCTTAGATTTTTCTTGTTACACAATTGAGACTGAAAGTAGTGCTTGTTGATACCCAAGTTCCCTTGATGCCACACAGTGACTTGGATTCTAACTCCCTTTCATCCATGTGAATTTTGTCTTCTTTGTGTTCACGGAACCTTACTACCCCCATTCCATCTGCGGGTCCCTGAAAACCTGTTTCCTCAGCATTAGCTCTGGAAGCTTCCTGATAATGTGATACCCTGAGACCACGAAGAAGACTGGAAGGAAGTGTGCTGTTTGGGTGTTCTCTCAAAATTCAGGTAGCAAAAGTAAGATTACTCCAACACAAGTGGTCTGTGATACAAGGGGGTTGTATACGTTGTAATTCCACTTTATTCTGCTCTTTAAACTGGACTTCTTATAAAGGCAATGCCCTGCAGCTTCAGTGGGTCCTATTTCCGAGCAGAGGTACAAAGACTGCCATTCTGAGACTGTTTGCTTCCTGGAAGCATCTGCACATGGAAGCGAGCAAAGACCATGGATGCCGGAAAGCTTCCTTCAGAATTGCTCAGGTTCCTATCTTGTAACTGGCTCCAGTCGATAGCCCCAGGATGTATTTAAAACAGCACAAGTGTGTGGTGTACACACCCTGCTGAAGACCTCTGACACAAGGAGATGAAGAGTCCCAAATGACCAAGAGTCCCAACAACAGGCCAAATTAGTTGCTGTCATGAGGCTATGAGCACAAAGTTGTCAAAAAAACCACCTGGAGGAAGCTTCTTTCAATTCTGCTCTACCCAGTTTTCAAAGAAAAGGAACAGCTCTGTCTAATGCACAGTGCAACGTATTTCTGGGGCTACAACTACCAGACAAATGTGCGCCAATGTTGCCTCACAGTGGCCAGGACCGTAACATCCCTTCCATGAATGTGAATTCTGCTTTGTCGGGGTCTACAGAACCTCACTGCCAAGCAATGTTTGCAAGAAAAGCATACATAGGCATGAGGATGGCGAGTTACTTTTGCATGCTGAAAAGCACAAAACCTGCAATGCAAAATGGAAGTCTTTGTGTGATGTGCACATTCTGCATTCCTTGTGCTCCAAGCAACCCTTCAGCTGCAAATTCGATGATTCCCCCAAGTTCTTAGACCCAAACAGCATATACTGAATTTATTACAGTGCTTGTACCCCACTGAGCTGTGATAATAAATGCACAGGAGCCCTGCAATGCTGAGCAGCTGGCTGTCGGACAGAATTGGCTTCCCCTCTTCCACTAGATAACCTAACCTCCGATTCCTAGTTGCTGGTAAATAGTGACTGGACTGGTGATGCTGAAAGAGAAGTACACTCACTGAGGAAGTCACCATGTGAACAGGAGTGCTGGGGTGGATTTAGAAACCAAGCCTACAGTGGTTTTGAAGATGTTCACATTTATCTTAGTCCCTCTCAATTGGGTGTGTAAATCACATTGGCTTCTGCACTCCTGAGAAATTTTTTCAACGCCTATTTAAATTACAATCAGATTACTCACTCAATACTTGCATTCGAATTTTTCACAACTTCATAAAGCTAAGAAAGGCGAGAACTCTCCAACAAATTGTTTAGCAAGCCAACAGCTGCTGGCTCAACATCCACTTGCTAACCTTCAGTTTCCAAAAGGTTTCCTACAAAGTTTCTTCTACTGGAGGGCCTTGGTTTCTTCCCATTAATCCAAATGTCATCTTATAAACTAGACCTGCTGCCTCTTGGTTTACCCTTGCAGAGCCATTATATACAACTATTCCCTTGGTCTTCCTTTTGTGACTGGCAAGTCATTTAAAAGCCACCAGAAAAATACTTCATTGCCTGTTTGTGCTATCAACAGCCTACTTACTTGCAGCAGCCTGTACTATTAAGAAGCCTTTTAGAGGCCTTTATCGCCTGTGAAGTACTAATATCTAAAATTGCCCCTCTTCTCTGGTATGGGAAGCATGCAACGTTTGGGAAAAAGCACTTGAATTTATAGTTTGTGCCCATGATGGCCGTTGAGAGCAGAATTCCCCCCAGCTGGAAGTTACCCTGGGTCTTACCCAGGTCTTTTGCAGCAATTGACAAAGAGATTATATTCAAATCCCAGGAGCCCAGTGAAAAAGTAAATGCATTCGCATATTGAAAGACACCCACACATAGTGGCAAGGGCTCACAGAGCTGGTATTTCTGTCCATATATCACTGCTGTTTTGATTCTAAAACAAAGTCCTTAGGCAATCTGAATTGCTTTGTTCCATTTCTCTTACTTTATTGTTTCATTTTGTTTCTTTAAGATGACACTGTAGGTTCAAGTCCAGTACCACTTTACAGAACAAGGAATATCGCTCACAGCTCTTGTGAACTTCACAACACACAGTAGGAAAATTGAAAGGGTAGTTTGACCCACAAAAAACACCTCCCTCTTACAAAGAAGTCCAGAGACCAGTTATTCCAAACCAGACTGCAGAGAAGGAGGGTTAAGAATCCAGTTAGGTGTCTAGAAGTCACCCTATCGTACTCAAATCTTTGGGCACAGCTCTCCACTGCAGCTAACTTTCAACATCTGTCAAGCTCAGTCTTTGCTGCAGGGAGTCCATGCCCCTAATTTTTGCTTTCTGGATTAAATTAAGAGGAAGTTCACATGACAGTGTAAGTTATTGCACAAATTACTACACTAATACTTAAGAACTTCTACCCATGGAATGTCAGAGCAGAGGAGAGGTGCTGCTGGATTCTTGGCGAACCAAGTCAAAATTCCAGCAAGACGATATGGCAAGCGGCCTTAAGTCATGATTCCCAGCACTATGGCATGCAGCGGAATTCTTAGAAATGCCCAACTTCATGAACAGCCTGCAAACATTCCAAGATGGTCCTGGTTTCTGCTGCTAACGAGGGCAGAACCTAGCAGCATGCAGAAGGCTTTGACTTCCTCTTTCCATCTCACACGACAGCTCATTCCCATTAAGATTTCCTTTCTATGGGAATCATAGGGAAACAGTATGCAAAATCCACACATATTATGCAAATCTCCATGGCCAGAAGTTGAGGTCTAGTAACCATGCTCACAGAGGATTCCAACAAAATCGGTGTGCTTTTCCCATTCGGAGCTGTATTTTCTGAAGTTCATCAATAATGTGAAGAACATTGACAACTGACCTCATGACAAAAAGAGAGAGAACATGGGTACATTGAGGCCAGAGCTGGTAAATGAAGGGGGCTAGATTGTGGTACTAAGTGGGTGTGGAATATAGGGCTGGTGTGTACGTTACAGACCTGCTTGTTGCACTAATGCACCCAGCTCAGATTATTGAGGCTTGACTGACATGTTATTATAGGCTTTCTTATGTTGCCAAGGTAATATTAAATAGAAGTGACAAAGAGGGTATTATTTCTATTGTTCCCAATTCAGTTGATTGGGAATATGAATGTCTAGACATAGATAAAAGAATCACAGAAATGCCCCCACAAAAAAAAAAAAAAAAAAGCCTCCTATCAAAAGCTCCCAATAATTTTGGAGACAGTAAAATGTTCCTTCTTGCTAATAAATTAACCTTATCTCTGAAAAAGCATAGCCACTCAACTCCCTCCAAAGCTAAACAAACAGAACTTGCTAAAAGGAGCATAGCATTAAAATGCCTTTCAAGTGCCTGATTTATTTCATATATATTCAGAAGGTAGCTTTTAAAAAGTGATTTTTTAAGATCCAATAAATATTTTTTAAATAAGCAGGGGCACCGCCCACATCCTTTGGTTGCACTGTAAAGAGATGTGTTCCTCTGTTTAGACAACGGAGGGGGAAATACCTCCACCCCCAAAAAGGGAAGGGATTCAACAAGTAGAAAGTTTCATTTCAATGTCACAGCCTCAGTCAAGCTTACTTTCTCCATGGGATGCACCATTGCTTTTCATGGACCATTATTTTTTAGGCCACAAGGAATTCAAAAATCATGTAAAATTCTAGCCCAAAAGCACCAGCCCCTGCATGCCTGTTAGCCATTTATGTTTCCCGCTATGACAAGAGTGGCTATTCGCAACTTGGCTGTCACTTTCGCATGAGCACAGGATAAATTTGCCTTCCTAGACTGGGGGCAATCCTGTAAAGCTTAGGCAGCAGCCAGCCCTAGCTGTAATTGTGACTACAGATTAATGAAAGGCAGCTGCATTGCTTTTCCAATTGCTGCATGCTGCACCCCTACCCCAATCCTTGGCTGTGATTTGGGGAAAGCAAATAAGGCACCCTGAGCCTTGCCATTTAATCTTCCGATGTGCATAGTTCCAGCAAATAGCAGAGACACTGTGATGATATCCTTTAAAATTAGAAAGCTGATGGATCTCAAAGGGTAGAAAGTCCAAAATGGCAATGCATTATAATGACTGGAGAAAATAGGTTAGGTTTGGAGAAGCTGTGAGAACTGAAAAGCAGAAACAAAAAGATGAATTTTCACACATCAGGCTATTCTCTTCCTCATGGCTGTGACTGTGCGAATATTTTAGGAGACAGAACATAAGCATTGCAAGGCAATCTGAGATAATGCAGAGGAGTGCATGTGAATTCAGACAGACCACTGCAGCAGCTAGCGCCTCCCCTTACCTCCGGGCTTTATGCAAGATTGGTCATCACGTCATGTCCAAGTTCACAGAGGGTGACATGCACTGGGTTCAAGACTTAAGCCATATACATGTACTAAAGAAAGCAGACAAAACAAGTTTGCTAAAAACCGGCAGCAGCCAGTACATGCGTAACATGTGATTAAATCCCCACAGTGTTATCTATGGAAGAGAAAGGGGAACAGTCAGTCACAATGTTAGCAAAAGTGGAAGTCTCAACACTCGGGAAAAAGATAACTCTGCGCCCATTTTTTTAAGGGTACTTGTACAAGGTCGGATACCTCAGAATAAAATCCAGCAGTCTGCCTGGCTTAAGAAAAAGCACCATTATGAGCTGTTGAGTACAGGCAGGCATGGACCTGCTCATGGCTGCTACCAGAGGTCGGGAAGAGAGGATGGTGGAACAGACACAAGAAGAGGAAAGAGCACAGGAACATTTTAGATGCTGATCTGAAGGACTAGCGAGTGAGTCCGGCAGACCAGACTAACAGGTTCATATTTCTTCACAAGGTAGATATTGACATATTGAACAATACATTAAAATCCTAGGAAACTGTTAATACTCCATGGATAGTTCACAGTGAGTGTGGATGGCGGTGTGTGCTATATACAGCAGATGTCTTTAGCTGAATTCTGAGCAACTGGAGGTTTTAAGAGTGTCCCAAAGCTAACTAGAAACCAGACTCAGAAGTCACACAGTCCAGTTGTATATGCAAAGATTTTCTTGGACAGGGATTCAAATACCTAAAATGCAGGTTGTTGAGCAAAATTCCCATGCTAGTATCAGAAAACTCTGACACTGGAGATCTGCACTGGACCTCAACAAATGACACCATGATTCACAGTTCTCCAATAGATTTTCACATCTTAGCAGCCACGCTGTGTAGTAATACTTTCAACGTACACAGATGACAAAACACGATGTACTCATCACAGGCATCATACACAAGACCCTGCAGAAAGAAGCTTGCATTCTTCTTAAATGTCATGCACAGCAGTCCAACATGATAAAAGTTGCAATCCAGACAATTCCTGATTAACCTCCTCCTGCCAGGAGAGGAGAAGAGGGAAAAGGAAGTGGGAAAGCTATTATAGGATCTTGTAAATTGACTTTATTGAGAAGTCCATTCAAAGTACCAAATTATAGCCTTGCCTGCGTCTCTCAACAATTCTGCTTTCATCATTCATGCTTCTGATTTTGATACTGTCTTCCTATCATGCGTGATCCTTCCACACGGATCTTTTCTGGTATCAGGAAGTTGTGCTAAGAACTCAGAAGCATATGGGAACGTTGGATGGAAAAAACCAAGAGGAAAGATGTCCTTTAATGTTAAAAAGAGGCAGAGAATCTGTTAAAAATCTGCTGAAAATGGCCAAAGGAAGAAACAGGGCATGTCTTGTTTGCGTCACTCCAAATATTTTGAAGTTTCTTCTAAATCAAAGAATTCAAATGAATAAACTGAGGAGTTTTGCTTTTTTAAAAAAAATCAAACCTTGATAAATCTAAGAATTGCTTCAATAGCCTCTTAATTACCATTGTGGCTTGATTCAAACCCAGTCACAGCAGTTTCAGTCAGTTTGCTAATCCATGGAAGATATCCCCATATTGTTTTATCCAGAAGTTCTCCAGAACTTCAGCTGAAGTTCCGAGGAGAAGCTGGGCAATCTCGTGGGACTACACATGCAGTATTGTGCTATGAAAAATACTTTTGCATGGACTTGCTTTCTCCATACTTTGACGTAAGGAAGTTGTGGCATGCTCCGCATTTGACAGCAGCATGGTGAGAATATCTAAATGCACAAGGCCATTTCCATGGGAGAAACGTATCTTCATATGGTAATTACAAGACTATTTGCAAACCAATGATTTTTTTTTGCTGTACTTGTAAACAGGAGAGGAAAGAGAATGGAACAATAAGCATGAGGTTTAAATAGGCCCCAAAATGACAAGGATGTTAATTCAGTTATATGGGACACCTTTCCATCAGAGGGATGACTTTTCCCACTGCTAGGCTGAACAGGGATAAAGTCCTACCAGTTCTGGTTATCCCACCCTTCTTCAGCAGCCGAAGATTCTTTTGTCGCCTTCTTAGGGGTCTTTCTGGCTTTGCCCTCCCCTGCTGCATTTTCCCAGTTGGTCTCCCAGTTTTCCCAGCTGTCACTGTTACTGTTCTTGTTATTGGAGACAGTCCCTGACCCCCAGACATCCCAGCTATCGGAGCTCTTCTTTTCAGTTGAATTGTCCACATATGTCCAGCTATCACTGCTTGGGGACTTGTGGGTCTTTGGAGGGTCTGAGTTACCAAAGGTATCCCAAAAGCTTTGATCCACTGCATTGTTCTGGTAGCCTTCACCTCTGCTGTTCTGGTAGCTCTCCCCCTCAGGTGGCCTTTCAGAGAGGAAAATACAGAAGAACAAGGGCTCGTTTAGTTTCAGCAGCTTACAGACCCCTCCCTTGTTTTTCAATGGCTTTAAAAGGGGGTTGCACAAGTTCACAGACCATCAGCTTGTACTGGTTACTTAGAATCTCCAGGGTCATTCATTCCCCGACAGCCAAAGCTACCCGAATAGTTTACAGCATGAAAGCATAAGAAAACCTTAACATTCAAAAACTTTACATGGTTTAGAAACAACTGGCAACAACCAGACCTGGATTTTAAAAAACTGAAACAACCCATCATATGCTATCAAAAGCCTAGGAGTAGAGGAAAGTCCTAACCTAGTGAGAAAAAGATGATTATGTTGGCACTAGACAGATCACTAAAGCAGCCTTCCCCAGCCTGGTGGCCTTCAGAGGCGTTGGGACTGCAACTCCCAGAATTCCCTTCCAGCAGGGCCACTGACTGGGAATTCTGGGTGTTGCAATCCAAATGTGTCTGGAAGGCTGTGCTAGAGAGAGCCTTCTGCAGTTGGGTGCCAATACTAAGAAGGTCCTCTCTCTTGTTGCTGTCCTCTAAACTTCCCTTAGAGAAGACACCCAGAGGATCTTTCATAGTGTACAGGTAAGTTCATTCGCAAACAGGTAAGTGCATTCCCAAACTCAGTGGAAGGTAATGTGTTACCTTGAGGCCACCCGAGCTGCAAGTGCAATGGTGACTCTTCCTTCAAGGAAGAAGTGCAACCCCATCCAGAACAGGTTGAACACCCTCCAGCTGGTCAGAAAACCACCTACTAACAGCAGCTTGGTCTCATTTGGGTTCAGTTTCAGCTTGTTAGGCCTCATTCAGTCCAACCCTGCAGCCAGGCACTAATCTGACTGCCTTAGCTGATAAGGGAAGGAGAAGCAGAACAGTTTGTGGCATCAGCATTATCATGTTAACGTACTCCAAAAGATCCCACTTTCATGTAGATATTAAACAGCGGGAAAACCAGGACCGGCCTCTGCAGAGTTCCTCATGACGAATCCACGAGACTGAGCAGTATCCTGCAACCACCACCTTCTGGAGCCAGCCAGCCAAGCAGGAGTAAAATCACAGCTCAGAGAGTTGACCCAGGAGGATACCATGCCCAAAGGTACCAGAGGCCATGGGAGCTACTGCACTCGTCTCCAGCTTATAAACTACTCATAGGCATCCGACTGGCTACTGTGGAAACAGAATGCAGAACTAGATCTCCACCTCAGAAGGGGTGGTGGAAAGGAAAATGGTTTGTCTGCACATGCAAACTCTTCATCACATCCAACCAGGACTCCAATTGGAGCCAAATCTGGAACCATAACTTGAAATGGCCACCTAGAAATACAGGGGTAGAGAGGCTACACATGCACTTTATAGAATGGGGTTTTTTTCTCTTTTACTGTAGGAATAGAAGTGACTGGGCAAATATTATGAGATGACCAATGAAAAAGTGGAACATAAATGTTTCAAACAATAAATAAATATTGGGTTAAGGGAAAACACAGTGAGGGGTGTGAGGAGAAAATTAAGTTGCGCAGAGTTTACTTGGGTGATCAGGGGAGCTCTTAAGTGTAAGGCACTTAAGAGCGTGCACATACAGGATACCTTTCAGAAGGCTCATCTGATTTCCCAGAGAAAAAAGTAGTAACGTCTCGCCATCCCTTGCTACTTACTCCCTGGACCTGTGGAAAGAGAGTGAAGAGTGCAAAGATCTATCACGCAAAAGACCATTAAGGGGTGGAGAGAACAGCAGACCTCCACACGCTGGAGGCAAGGGCTTTCTACCTTTCAAAGCCCATTTCACGCAGTGCAGCCTCACAAGGAAGAGTTTTCCTGGACACAGACATTTCTGAGGAGTTGACAGGGAACTGCACCCACTGCTTAATGCACTGAGATGGGAAACAGAAGATTCCCTCCATGCCTCCTCCTTTTTATGTTCATACAACAAAGAGTACAGTGAAAGTCTCCGTGAAGAGTTAGGAGCTGCTTTGACAAAGTTGCCAAATCTTGAGAAAGGGAGGCAAAGCCTAAGACAGTCATGCAGGAAGACTCTGCCTCTTGGTCACCGGAAGAACAGAAATCTAGAATGACAATGGCAACTGCCACAATAGGTAACTTCTTTTTTGAGAAGTGAGTTCAGTGATCAGCAATCTATGAAATAATTAGTACTACAAACATTCACAAAACTACATGCACTTTTATCTCTTTTCTTACAACATTATATGGGAACGACTTCGACATAAAAGCATTCAACAAAAAATGGAAAACTAGAAGGCATTAACGCTTACCAGTTTTAATGAATAATGGCAGCAAGAATGAAGAAGAGAAAGCACATATATTAGCAAGATTTAGAAGTATCTGTATTCAATTTAAGCTGTTTCCATATTCCTTTCCAAGCTTTATGCCTGATAACAGGCTCACCAATTGCCGCAGTACTGCCTTTGCCAAAGCACATTTAAAATCTCCGCTCCACTCACTGTTTGACACACACATCTTGATGGCACACAGTTTTTTTGATTGTCAACTGATGGCACTTAATTATATCGGAATAACCTTTCATTAGATATTAATGAACACAAGTTTCTGCAAAGGTCCGACTCACACATTACCCTAGCTACAGCAGAAATCAGTTTCAGCTGTCCCAGTATTAGGTCAACATATTTGTGATATAAAAATCATGCAGTCAGGCCATTTCACAGTGACTTTGATGTTAAAAGCACTGTGTGCATTGAGCCTGAAGTGGAAGAAAGTGCTTACTCGGGCTGTGTGGCTGCAAGGTGCATGATCTTTTGTGCTGGAGCTCCAGGTACAAAAGGAATATGGAGACTGGCTTAATTCAAGGCCTCCTAGCTGCTAGGAAGGCCACTTCGTACCTTGGAAGCCAAATGAGAGACCCCCTGGGAAACGTCATCCAAAATTTTTCCATCTTTCACCTATAGAAATCAAGATGTCCACAATTAGACACAGAACAAGACAGCCTGTGAGAAAAGCTAGTTACACTACCAGTCTTGAACTAGTCTTCAAAACAAGTCTTGAATTCCAAAGACAATGAAGCTAGGAGGAGAGAGTTCAGTACTTGTTAAAAAGTCACCTGCCTCCACAAACTGCTGAAATTTGGCAGGAAACTTCCTTGGGAAATGCAAAAGTTTTTTGGTTGAACAAACTAGCCACTTATGGAGCAAGTAACACAAGGCACTCTGTATAAAGAGTGCTTGTTAAACACATGGGGCAATTTTTATAAGCATAAACTGGGATTTGGTTTGGTTTACCAAAAATGCATCTCTACTTAGAATTTTACACAACATTCCTAGCCTTGTTAAAGATGTTCAGGATCATCTAAAAAGAATTTATATTTCAGTCTGGAAGTTGAACAACCTGTCACCCTGTACAGACCTGAGTTCTTCAGCACACAAAACAGAATACTAATTTATTCTCCATCAAATTTAGCAACATGGTGAACATGTACAGAGGGCATTTGCCACTGGTTGCCCAGAAACTGAAAAAGCCCTCAGCAACTGGGGAACACAAACACCTGGGTGGTCGGCATGCTTACAGAGTGCTGAGTCCCAACATCCCTCTACATGTGAGAAGCTTACATGAGGTTCTCTGAGATGGAGGGAGATTCAACACAAGGCTGTATCCAAACAAGCAGTTCCCAGCGTTGATTTTGAGATGATGCAGTCATGCAATATAGTGTGGCTGTATCAAGTGACCAACAGCACACTTTCATCTGATCTTAGTTGCTCTTTAATCAAGCTAACCTTTGTCATGAATGGCCCAGATTGCTTCAGCTATTGGGAAGTACAGAAATGTGATAAATAAATAATAAATTTAACCTTCTGTACCCTCCATGGATTCTCTTAGATTTCTTATATTCTCTCAAGGTTTACTCCTGTGAGGAAAGTTTGTAACAGCTGTCATTGTTTGGCTTCAAAAACAGGCAAGAAAGGGGAGACATAATATATAAAAAAGTATACGGCATTATGCCTGCTATAGAGAAAGGGGAAAGGAAAAAATATTTCTCCCTGTCTTGGGGCTGATGGATGGGAGATTCAGGACAGATACAAGGAAGGACTTCTTTACACAGCACAGTTAAATTATGGAATTCATGGCCACAAGATATAATGGCAGCTGCCAATCTGGATGGATTTAAAAGGGAAATGGACAAATTTGTGGGGGAGAAGGATGAATGGCCTAATGGTTATATGTTCCCTCCAGCATCTGCCTGTACTCCTGTCCCTGCTGAGTTGCCGGTGGGAAGCCAGGTGGCCATCATGTGAACAAAGGCTGGACTAGACGGATGCTTGGTCTGATCCAGAAGGGCGCTTGTGATGTCTTTCTACTCTTCTGCACATGGCACAAATTAATATGCAGCTGGCAGCAAAACTATGAACTGGAAAAAGGCAGCCAGTGTGGTGTGGCAATTAGTGTCAGACTAGGACCAGGTAGACCCAGGTTCAAATCCTGCTTGTGAACTGAAACTCACTGGGTGATCCTAGGCTAGTCCTGATGGCTGAGCCTGATGTAGCTCATAGGCTATTGTGTTAAGGGCGGGGGGGGGGGGGAGTGAGAGACGCTCACCATGTAGGAGCTCCCAGGAGGAAAAGCGAGGTACTTATGTATCCAGTAGTGCAAACAGAGTGTAGAGCACAGAAGGATGACAGGTAAGAGATGCGTTTCACACCCATCTGGATCAGCCAGTTGGGCTGCAGACATCTTGAAGAGTGAATGCCAGAATATGAAACTGACACCACCAGCTGGGCTTCTGCTTTAGATCATACAGGGAAGGAATTAAACCGACACGACAGGTGCAGGCAATTCACGCTAGAGAAGCTAATGTGAGTAAGTAGGAGGATGCATTCAAAATCTGTAAGTTGTGTACTTAATTCCAAAGTTACCTTTTCCTGTGCAGGTTTGAGAATATTTTCATTTAAACTCTGACCTAACTCTGAAGCCTAGTTAAAAGCAAAACAAACAAAAAAGTCAGTTACACTTTTCTTCATTCGACACAGCTTACATGTAATACTAACAAAAAGTTGTCATAAGACTTTCAAAGGAAAAAAAAGGGGCAAAGTAGGACAAGAGACGCCCTAAGATTTGCCTGCTACAAGCGACAGAGTGAGCTCAAGGCAGACAAGATGCAAAGTCATAAAGAAAAAAAAATACATGGAGCTACACAAGACAACAGTACCTTCAAACTGGTTCTTTCAGCACACTGCTGCCGCTACTGACAGACTAAAAGAAAGGATCCTTGCTAAGCCATTGTTTGCTTTAGTGGAACAACTGCACCCACAGCAAAGGACAATTCCCACACTGCTCCAGTAACATGCAAGCAGATTCCATTCACTCATTTGGTTATAGTCTGCGATTTCAAAAAGGCACACGCACAATATAGGGCAAATCATGCCGCTTGAAGCTTCTATTAATGGAGCACCATGGGAAGCTATTGAGTGATGGCAGCTACTCCACTACAGGAATATGCACCTAGAAGTGTTATTTTGGAAAGACATATGGAGTGATTTCACAGAATCAGCACAGCGAGTAACGCCATCCCCATCTGAGAAGAATTTCTGTTTCTAGGAGAGGCAGCGGACACGCTCTTGCACCCAAAAAATGATGTCAAAGCTTAAGGATCATGTTCTTTGCTAGCTTGTGTGAGAATGTTTAAGATCAATGGAACTCCAGTCTTAGAAGAGCTCCAGAGGGTTTCTGTTCTAGAGTAAAAGTCTGCAGGGTCCAGTCATGAAGCATCACACAATGTTTTTAACCAAACACAATGAAGAGCTATTTATTTATTGCATTTGTATGGTCCATTCCCTCTTCATGGATCACTGCCTTGTCGTGGCGAAGGGGCTTGCGTAGCTCAATGAAGCTATGAGCTATGCCATGCAGGGGCACCCAAGATGGACAGGTCATAGCAGAGAGCTCTGACAAAACGTGATCCACTGGAGAAGGAAATGGCAACCCACTCCAGTATCTTTGCCATGAAAACCCCATGGACAGTACCAAAAGGCAAAAAGATATGACACCAGAAGATGAACCCCTCAGGTCGGAAGGTGTCCAATATGCTACTGGGGAAGAGCAGAGGGCTAGTACTAGTAGCTCCAGAAAGAATGAAGCGACTGGGTCAAAGCCGAAAGGACACTCAGTTGCCGATGCATCTGGAGGTGAAAGGAAAGTCTGATGCTGCAAAGATCTATACTCCATAGGAACCTGGAACGTAAGATCCATGAATCAAGGCAAACTGGATGTGGTCAAACAAGAGATGACACAACTGAACATTGACATCTTAGGAATCAGTGAATTAAAATGGACAGGAATGGGTGAATTTAATTCAGATGACCATCAGGTATACGACTGCGGGCAAAAATCCCTCAGAAGAAATAGCCTTCATAGTCAATAACAGAGTAGGAAAAGCAGCCTGGAATACAATCTCCAAAATGACAGCAGGATCTCAGTTCGAATCCAAGGAAAACCATTCAACATCACAATAGTCCAAGTCTATGCCCCAATCACTGGTGCTGAAGAGGCTGAAGTCGACCGGTTCTATGAAGGCCTACAACACCTTCTAGAAGTAACTCCAAAAAATGATGTCCTTATCATCATGAGGGAATTGGAATGCTAAAGTAGGAAGCCAAAAGATAACTGGAATAACAGGCAAGTTTGGCCTTGGAGTATAAAATGAAGCAGGGCACAGGCTGGTAGAATTTTGTCTAGAGAATACGATGGTCATAGCAAACACTCTTTTCCAACAACCCAAGAGATGACTCTACACATGGATGTCACCAGACCATCAACACAGAAATCAGATTGACTATGTGCTCTGCAGCCAAAGATGGAGAAGCTCTATACAGTCAGTAAAAACTAGACCAGGAGCCTACTGTGACTCAGATCATGAGCTTCTCGTTGCAAAATTTAGGGTTTAATTGAAGAAAGTAGGGAAAAGCGCTAGGCCACTCACGTATGACCTAAATCATATCGCTGATGAATATACAGTAGAGGTGACAAATAGATCTAAGGAATTAGATCTGATAGACAGAGTGCTTGAAGAACTATGGACGGAGGTTCGCAACATTGTACAAGAGGTAGCAACTAAAGCCATTCCAAAGAAAAAGAAATGCAAGAAAGCAAAATGGCTGTCTGAGGAAGCTTTACAAATAGCTGAGGAAAGAAGGGAAGTGAAAGGCAAGGGAGAAAGAGAAAGATACACCCAATTGAATGCAGAATTCCAGAGAATAGCTAGAAGAGATAAGAATGCCTTCTTAAATGAATAGTGCAAAGAAATAGAAGAAAACAATAGAATAGGGAGGACCAGAGATCTCTTCAAGAAAATTGGAGATATGAAGGGAACATTTCATACAAAGATGGACAGGATAAAGGACCAAAATGGCAGGGACCTAAGAGGCAGAAGAGATTAAGAAGAGGTGGCAAGATTACACAGAAGAACTATACAAGAAAGAGTTTAACGTCCCTGATAACCACGATGGGGTGGTCACTGACCTTGAGCCGGACATCCTGGAATGTGAAGTCAAATGGGCCTTAGGAAGTCTGAGCAGCAACAAAGCTAGTGGAGGTGACAGTATTCCAACTGAGCTATTCAAAATCTTAAAAGACGATGTAGTAAAAGTGCTACACTCAATATGCCAGCAAATGTGGAAAACTCAACAGTGGCCACAGGATTGGAAAAGGTCCGATCCCAAAAAAGGGCAATGCCAAAGAATGTTCAAACTACTGCACCACTGCACTCATTTCACACGCTAGCAAAGTTATGCTCAAAATCCTACAAGCTAGGCTCCAGCAGTATGTGGACCACAAACTACCAGAAGTACAGGCAGGATTTCGAAGAGGGAGAGGAACTAGAGATCAAATTGCCAACATACACTGGATCATGGAGAAAGCTAGGGAGTTCCAGAAAAACATCTATTTCTGCTTCATTGACTATGCTAAAGCCTCTGATTGTGTGGATCACAACAAATTGTGGCAAGTTCTTAAAGAGATGGGAGTATCGGACCATCTTATTTGTCTCTTGAGAAACCTATATGTAGGTCAAGAAGCAACAGTGAGAACTGGACATGGAACCACTGATTGGTTCAAAATTGAGAAAGGAGTTCGGCAAGGCTGTATACTGTTGTCCTGCTTATTTAACTTATATGCAGAGCACATCATGAGAAAGGCGGGGCTAAATGAATCACCAGTTGGAATTAAGATTGCTGGGAGAAATATTAACAACCTCAGATATGCAGATGATACCACTCTCATGGCAGAAAGTGAAGAGGAACTAAAGAGCCTCTTGATGCAGGTGAAGGAGGAGAGTGCAAAAGTTGGCTTGAAACTCAACATTAAGAAAACAAAGATCATGGCATCCGGTCCTCTCACTTCCTGGCAAATAGATGGGGAAGAAATGGAGGTAATGACAGATTTTATTTTCCTGGGCTCCAAGATCAGTGCAGATGGGGACTGCAGTCAAGAAATTAAAAGACGCTTGCTTCTGGGCAGGAAAGGTATGGCAAATCTAAACAGCATACTAAAAAGCAGAGACATCACCCTGCCAACAAAAGTGCATATAGTCAAGGCTATGGTTTTCCCAGTTGCAATGTATGGCTGTGAAAGCTGGACCATAAGGAAAGCTGAGCGCCGATGGATTGAGGCCTTTGAACTGTGGTGCTGGAGGAGACTCCTGCGAGTCCCTTGGACTGCAAGGAGATCAAACTGGTCAGTCCTAGAGGAGATCAACCCTGACTGCTCTTCAGAAGGCCGGATCCTGAAGATGAAACTCAAATACTTTGGCCACGTAAGGAGAAGGAAGGACTCCCTGGAGAAGAGCCTAATGCTGGGAACAATAGATGGCAAAAGAAAAAGGGGATAGCAGAGGATGAGGTGGCCAGATGGAGTCACTGGGGCAGTTGGTGTGAGCTTAGGTGGACTCCGGGGGATGGTGGAGGACAGGAAGGCCTGGAGGAGTGTTGTCCATGGGGTCGTGATGGGCCGGACACGACTTCGCAACTAACAACAACAACAACAACGGTCCATTCTCCCAGAACACAGGCTTAGTCTCCCATTTCCTAGATTTATAGGAACTATGGCCACTAGAAAAAGTGACACAAAGTGGTGTAAAGAGTGACTGCAAAGAGGAGCGCAGGGAGAAGAATTACTCGCTAGAGATGAAGAAACAATACACCCATAGCTAGGTTTTGCTAAAGCCCTGTGGAGCTGTTTGTAGAAAGGATCCTCCTTTTTGCTGTAGAAATCTAGGTGTCCCTGCTTAGTCCACAGAAGTCTGTTGGTGGCCTGACTCTGGACACAGGGACTGGAGAAGAGCTGTGGCCCCTTCATCACCAAGAAACCTTCCCTTCCTCACCCTATTTCTGAGAACAGTGTCTATTTTTGTTATTATTTCTTAGTGGATGTTATGTATTTAGGAAGGACACTGCTAAATTCTTTTATTTCTTATGCCAAGAAGTTGCACGCCATCTCTGTGAAGTGGCTTGGGAAGGACGCATTTTGGTGCACATTGCAATTTCTTTTTAATTGTGGTGAATTGTAAGCTAGGAAAAATATTGAGCAGTTCCCTGGGAAGAGAAAAAGGATAAGGAGTTGCTACCCAAGACTCCTAATAAAGCCAAAGTTGAAAGAACTTCCAAGCAGGATAAGAATATCAATGCCAGGCTACTTGTCCCGATGGCTAAGTGCCGTTTCCAGTATCAAAGGTAATATGTGGGAGGGGGCTATTGCATTCATCCCCTCCTCACAGGTTTCCCTTGGGCAGCTGCTTGGCACTGTACGAACAGGATGCTGAACTAGAAGGCTCTTGGTCTGATTCTTCTAAAAGCACATTTCCCTCTCCTTGCAGCTCCTTGCTCGCCTCCCTGAGCCATGTCCCTAGGAGCTGCCTAATCTCTCAGCCCCTCACTACTGTAGTGTTTTGCAGTTAAGGTACTCGACTGCCACGGCTGCTATCCACTGTTGCCATGGGATACTGCGAACATTCTGAATCTAAACGAATCCATCTAATCAATATCCTTCCTTTATTAGTTCAAACATCTACATAATTTATGGAATATGTGTAATTTATTTGGTTTGTGGCAAATCTGGCTATTTTTTAACATCTTATGGATACTGATCCCTGTGGAAGGGGGAGAACACAGACCTTTGCAGATCTGTAACTTAAATGCTTCAAACCTTTTCCTCCCATGATTGAAGCCTTCTGTGAACCATTCCTCTCTGATTCCAGTTCCAAATACGTCCCTAAATCTCATTTCATGAATGCCTCCTCTTGACCCTCCAATACACACAGCCAATGAGCCCTAAATGCTCACAGAATTAGCATGGGTTGGAATATTTACTTAGGAATCTTTTTTGATGCAGCCTATTTTAAAACAAGCTGAAAGAGACATTACAGAAAGATGCAGACAACACTGCTCAACGAAAATGACTTGATTTCAAAGTGCGTGTGGGGGGTGGGTAGGAAATAAGTAAAAGGAAAAGACAGCTAGCAGCAAAATGTACAAATTCAGCACAGTAACACAGTGCCCATGCATGAGAAGAGAGGGCATTACCGGCTCTGCCTGCTGTTTGTGGCCCCAAAACTTTACACCCAGGCAGCACAAGAGAAAAGAGCAAGGGGGGTAGAAGAAGCAGCATTTAGCAAAAGATCTAAAGCAGTTTTTTAAAGGCAAGAAAGCATGATATTCATTCCTACACCAGTGCCTTACTGACAAGCAAAACGCCGAGTCTGTTGTTCAACATGCCAAACCGAATTGCCAAATTTAGTATGCGAGTCGAGGCTGGGGGTTAAGCCAGGCTGTGAGCAACAGCTCCACTTGCTCACTGGGGGAATTTGCTGTCATAGGTGATGAGCAACAATGCTGAAGTGGCTTGTCAGTAGAGCTGATTGGTTAACTTGTGTGTAATGCGCTGAATAAATATATACGCTTGATACTAAAAAAAAAAAAAAAAAAATTCAACAAGGTTCCAAGTAAGTAACTAAGAGATTTGTGAGGAGGCAGCAGAAGAAAATCGGGATGACACCAAGTTCCCCTACTCTACCTAGCGAGCAAACCTCTGCAGGCTTCGTATTTCCTGCATTTTTCCTTTGAAGGCATACAACTTCCTAGCCTGGAAGATGGTTTGCAATGAAACCTGAATTTTTCTCACTGCTCTCTGCCAGCACCCAGTGCAGACCGAAAAGAACTCGAGGTCCCGGCTTTGCGCAACTTGCCCGAGCTGGGCACATGCACCACCTTTTCCTTCTTACATGGTGCAATTCCGGCTGGTAATGAGCGGTTCCAGTGCCAGCAAGCTACTCTGAGAGCCAGGTCACATGAATCTGCTGCTTGCACCTGAAACACGAGCACCTTGGGGAGAACCGGCAGGCTCACCACTGCGGATCCTGCGGCTTGGAAGTGCTCTGCCATAAGATGCTACCTGCATGAATCAATTTTTCTGTATGGATACTACATGCAGGTGCCCCCACAACCATTATGGTTTGAAGAGAGGCCTTCACAATCAGGCATTCATGAGAAGTTTCCCTTTGTACAAACTGTATGGGGACAAGTCAGTGCCTGCATGCTTAATTATGGTTTGGTGCATTTTCTTACTGTTTTAATTCCATTTAATTTGTGATTGTAAGCCACTTTGAGAGCCATTCTTCTCAGTAGAAAGGTAGGGTACAAATCTAATATTGAATCCAATGGCTCCATCACAACTCTCACTCCAAAGCAAGCCCCACACTCCTACAAAGACTCCAATATAGTATTCATGAGCAAATCGGACACAGAGCAGGCGACAATTCAGGATCAGTGGCTATTTCCATAATGAGGAAAATAAATATTTTGGGTGTGTAATACGAGACGTTTCTGCAACAATAACTGAAAGAGAGACTGGGGAAGCTGCTGTAGTCTTACATTATACTAGATATGTCCCCTTCTCTGTCCCACACCCCATCGAAGTACTTATCCCTCATGAATTATTTTGAATCACTTTCTGAGGAGAAAAGCTGGCATATTTTCAGCTGTTGTGCGCTAGAATGTAAGATATGCACAAACCATTTAGTACAGGAGAGAGCAAAGATTTCACTCTTTTTTCTTTGACACACTAGAAGGAAAGAAGAGATCAGGAACAAGACACAGTGGCTTGCACCTTCCACTGCTGTTGTGTAGTATGTTCCAACACCAGGCCAGAGCTAAGGGCAAAAGTGGTGGACCTTATGGGTTTTAGAGCAGATTCTAACTATCAAGTTGCAGACATTCTAGCACCACTAACTAAACAGAGCCAATAGATTCACCCTTTGTTCTCGCTGCTTCCTAACTAAAGCTAGCACGTTGTTTGATCACAATACCTCTGAAACCGGGACCTAATAATCAGTTTATCAGGAAAGATCCAGGAGAATTCAAGCCGCTGAGGATAAGAGAACCAGTGAAATGTTTTAGTGCACAGAACAGAACAACTTGTGTTAATCACCTTTTGAGTTGCCTGAGATCCAAATTTGGTAGCCTGTTGACAGAAGCAAAAAATAGTTAGTTTCACTCTCATATTTCTCCCACCGTGTTTCTTAAACTGCACATATCTCCTGCCATCCCGAGGAGATTTAAACAACTAGAAAGCACACTCACATCGACATTTTGGATCCTTCCAGACAGGTGACCCCTAGGATTACCTACTCAATCATCGCTTTTCTGCTGTAAGCTACCAAGAGAGCTTCAACCACTTTTCACATTTCAGGGGTATTATGCTTTCTCTTCTGTGCACACATCCTGTTTTGTTCTATCCATGCTGCTGTGTCTGTAATGGCCATGCAGGCATTAGAGAGCCTGGGCTACTGGGAGGCATACAAATGAATTAAATAAGGAAGGAAGGGTCAGTTCACCCAAACCATATTGCTTCCCATTAGGTGTCTCCATAGGGTCATGTGAGGGAAAGTAAGGTTGCACTGCAGAAAACCACTGATATGGAGGAAACGTGCCCTCTGTGAAGGACCCTGCCTTCTGACAGGCAGGCTTTTGTCTTTACCCACCCCATGTTGCTAAAATGGCCATAATAGGAATGTTTTACAAAACAGATGTTTAAAAACAATTGTGATCTTCTTTCATTTAAATGCTATTGCAATTTTTAAGCAAATACAAAGAGAACACATTTTAGCAACAATGTAGGGAAGCATCAGGGAGAACCATCACAGGATGATAAAATGGCACGGGTACATTAACCTGCTAGTACACAAAGAAACCGTGCCTATAAAAAATAGAATGTAGCACTACATTGTGCTGTTCTTCCATTCTCACAAGAGTCAGACTTTCTGCGATTTCAAAAAAGATGAAAAAGAGAGGGAGAGAATGACTGGGTGAAAATGTTATACAAATGCCCCACAGCAAGTACACGAATGAAGTGTGGCAATTCCACACTATATGGCTAGTGGGGAAGCACCCCTTAGTGCCTATATACTAAGCCCATCCTCCTATCTTATGTTTTAATCTTGAAGAAGAAGCTAGTCATTTCAGATCACATTCTAGATAAAATTGCCATAGCAATAATTTCAAATAGCATCACAGGGAGCCCTGAAATCTCTTTTGGGGGGGGGGGCGGCGGGGGCTGTTGTGTGGGAGAAAATCATTAGTGGTATATAAATGTTTCAGAAATATATTATGTTCATCAGAACTGTCATCCAATATCTGTTCTTATTTTTCCTGCACACATGCATTTCATGCAAATGATGACGGTACAGCAACAGGCATGGCACAAAAACTGGAACTGAATAAACACCCAAGAATATTTCCAGGACCCACAACTGACACAGAAACTGAGAAAACAAGTTCCATATGCATGAGAATTTGAAAGCAAAAGTGAAAAAGACATTTACTTATTTGACCGATCAAACATGCTAAAGGAAAGAAATGCTAACTTGGCTGATTAATACTTGTGCTATTCTTCTCACATTATAAATGGTATTATTATATGTTAGTATTACAGGCTGGAGGGCAACTACATATTTAGAAGATTATGCATTGCAGGGTTCTATATTTAACATTCTAAAAACTTAGAAATCTTCTGAGTGGCATAGATTAATCAAAAGCTCTTTGGTGATAAGATTATCATTATGTGAACAAGTGGCTAATAAAGCAAAGTGAATGTACCCTTAGCTGAAAAAAATCAAATGAAGCAATCAACCAAACCCCATCACTGCATTCATGAGAGGCAAGATTTCTGCCTGTTTAAAAAAAAAAAAAAAAAAAAAGGTTAAGTGAAATGACTTCATGTGCTGAATTATGTTTACTTACACCTTCTTTAGCTGCAGAAGCAAATTTGCTTGCTCCTGTTGTAAAACTGCTCCATCCCTGAAAGGAGAAGAACATCATAGCAAGGCTTGCTCCATGCAGACACCATGGTAATGTATGATATATTCATACTTCCCGACTTTCGTAAATTTACACAAGGGCCAAAACTGGTGCCCACAGTAAAAAATGCAACCACTATTGCCCCACAGCACAGGATCCATGGGGTGATGCATGAACATAGGGCAGTGGAGTGGAAAAATGGAAATACCCCTCTTTAGGAAACGTTTATTGGATGCCTGCTTTCCAGAATTCAGCTTCTAGTGTCAATTCCCCAGAGTTTCTCCCCAGCTCTTCTCTTCTTCAATTTCAACTGAAGCCACTCCCTCTCTGCAACTCCCCTGTCCCCACTTTTAACCTATTATTACGCCCAACATGGTACTGTTGCTTTTGGGCAATGAAGCCAAAAGAAGCAGTTGCTTCAACTACTACTGCTCTTCAGCTTTACAGAAATAGAATCTCCAGTTACCTTCTTCCTTTCTGAAGCCTGCATGTGAGTAGAGATTTAGAGTACAATGTCTACTCAAAGGCCCCTTTCATTTTCATCCTGATTTTCAAAACTGATTTGTGAAGAGGAAGATTGGGTGACTTCGAAGTTACTATAGAAAAAAAATGAATGGAGTTGGGGTGGGGCGAGAGAAAGCATGGATAAGAATGATCTATATGACTTAATTTAAATAGTTATTATCTCTAGAAATGCCAACCTGGGGAAAAGAAATTTTAGCACAGGTAAGAATGACCTACATGAGCACAAACTGGGTTGTAGTTATGAAGCATCATGCTGGCAAAAAGGATAGGCAGGTGGATATACTATCATTTTATTTTGGAATGCTAAGAAGAATGTAAATGGATAGCTTTCTGAAAAGACCCCCTGCTGCACAGGTCTTAAACTCTGAATATTATAAGATTGAAGTGATTTGTATAAAATTGCACTCAAACTTCTCCCATATTTCAGCTATTTCACACATGAGACAATACATAGATTGTTGGCCTGATTGCTTTTAAGAATACTGTTGTGTTCAGCAAAGAATAACATGGCATTGCTCCATCTTATACTACTAAGCATAAGGAAAGCATCTACTTACCGAATACAGAGAGGACATGGCATTATTAAGAAAGTCATCTTCCTTCTTTGGAGGAGTAACTGTGTTCCCAAACCCTACATAGCGATTCTCTTGACCACTGAATCAAAATATATAAGAAAATGAGCAAACCCTATTTAAAATCAAAACACGGTTCTTTAAAACACACCCAGTGACTGGTTCTGTGACCTGCAGCACCCCTGCCATGCACACGCACACACAGAAATAAGCATGGGGTGGGATATCATAACTTCATCCTCAATTAGTGAATTTCTTGTGCCCAACATGTTATATTCAACCTGTAATTTTCAGGTACAGTTTTACTGCTCTTTCTAAGCAAAGAGTGATGCTCAGACCGAGCACTTCTGTTTCAAAGCCTCAGACTGGAAAGTTCATAGTGACCCTAGCATAAAGTACAGTGGTACCTCAGTTCACGAACTTAATTCGTTCTACCCGAATTGGTCGTGAACCAGGTCGAATTTCCCCATAAGCTTCAATGTAAATAAGGTTAATCCATTCTGAATCATAACTTTATGTTATACATAAAGAACGGCATATAAACGTTTTAAATAAATAAATACTACATAAATACATGATTTTTTTTTTTAAACCACAAAAATAGGAGCCACGTCCCCAGGCTGCGGGCCAAGCCGCAGCTGCCTCACTGAGCCTGGGGGCGGACAGGCTGAAGCAGAGTGAGAATGGGGATGTGGCTCCCGCGCCTCCACCGCGGCCCTCTCAGGGCAAGCTGCTGCTGCCGAGTGGCCACCATGCTTCTCCCCCCCCCACGGCGGGGAGAGGCGGGAGGCGCCCCGCTTGGCCGGCCGCGGTCCCATCCCTCCCCTCCCCTCAACTCAGTCCTTGGAAAGCAGCCCTTACCTCCCTCCTTATGGCCCTCTCCCGGCTGGGAGAGCCACCCCGCACTCGTCTCAATGGCCTCCCGCTCCCTCTCCCAGGGTTGGGCAAGCACCTCTGAGGGGGACCTTCCTCTAGTTCAGAAGCGGGGTGGCGGCGAGGGGCTGCAATGGCCTCAACCGAGGTGAGCGCACCCTCATGGCTCCCCCTCATGGTGGGTGGGGAGAAGGTTATTGTTTGGAGTGTTCGTGCGAGGAAGATGGCCACGATCGTGTTCAAGCGGGAACATGGCCATGATTGTGGTCATCATCCAATGTGGAGTTCACGGACGGAGGCAAAATTTTGCCAAAATTTCTGTTCGCAACACGATTTGGTCATGAACTGAGGAATTTGTGAACCAAGGTACCACTGTACACATTACATACATTAGTGTGAGTCTTTCCCCAGGTTTAAAAACAAGATATTCTGAATAGTTTCTCTTAGAGAAACAGCCTTGGAGATTGGAAGATCAGAAAGGAGGGAAGGTGCTTGACCTCTTCAAGATTACTCGCCTGAAATCACGCAATAAATTAATAGCTTAGAATTGGATTATACTCTATGCAATGGATGTGTTTTCCACATGGACACTGGCCTTTGATGAAAACCATATGAAGTGCCTTGAATACCACTTCTGATAGAAAGGTGGGGTACAAGACAAAGAATGTGAAAATGCAGGCCTGTAGACACGCAGTAGTCGAAGCCCATGAAATAAGCCATCTCACATTCCTCGTGTATTTCAAGACATGGCTCTGACACCTTGAGTGTACACTGCAGCAAATATAACTGTATATAAAGTGCAGACCAGCCCTAGATACAGATCTGAACCCAAGTTTGCTTTCAATATAACTGCAACAGCCTAACAGTAGCTAGAGGCAGATTAAGAAATATCTCCAAAGCTATGTCAGCTAATAAAGAACAGCATGTAAAATACACTTAACACTCTGCACCACTTTCACTAGCTAGTGCACAGTTTCTAGCCACAAAATGTTATTTGACATGTTTCCCATCTCCACCAACTGCTATCTTTGTAAGTCTTCTGGCACAAGCAGAGCTCAGGGGTGGGGGAAGGCTGGCTCTTACCGCGTAGGAAGCTATGGAGAAGCCTAGATGCAATGAGACTGACTCATACTGTTTCTGTAGAAGGATTCTCCCCTTGGCAACACGGGAAGAATTTGGCCAAGGGAATGTTTAGGCACAGTATCCCTGCCAAGAGGAATCACCTGGGAGGTGGAGGAGAGTGGGACTCACTGATCATAACCATAATTGTGGAATCCTGTGTCAAACAGAGGTGTGATTTCTACCTTTGATAGGAGCCAACGTCATCATTTAACCAGTCTTCAAAGGCTTTGTCAGAACTGGCACCAGCATTCTGTGGTTGTCCGGCCGGTCTGCAGCAAAAAAGAATGAAGTAATAAGCTATTCAAAAGCCAAAACCTCAAGTATGAGTCCAGACTCGCTGTTCCTATATTATCACATGTTAACCTGTTAACATCTACAAACACAGAATGGCTGCATATCAAGTTTACTTCTAATTAATGTTTGTACCGTACTTTACGTTTTTTAATCGTTGTGAGCTGCCTAGAGAGCTCTAGCTATTGGGCAGTGTAAAAATGTAAGAATAAATAAAATACATGGGTGTATGATCCATTCAGACATGCCAAGGGCTGTCCCTTATTTATCGAGACATCAAATTTTACTTGTCATAAAACCAGTTTAGGCTGTCCTGAAGTATGGCAGTTCTGGAGCACAATTAGTGATATCTTGAATATTCAAGGGTCTTTCATGATATCTCTGACTATAAAACTCAGGTTACATACATAAAATATTTTGTAACTGAACCACTGGCAACAGCTATTAAGTTGCAAAGTAATAATATACAGTTAAAAATGACAGTAAATATGTTAAAATATTGCTATATGCTAATGATGCTGTGTTAACATTGGTTATTTCTATAACTGGACAGTGGATAGGGGAAACAAAAAGCTTGACATCTTTAAAAGCAAATTAGCAAACATTTTCTTGGTTGAGTTATAATCCTAGAGATGTTTAGAAAATACACCAACACAACAATAAGCCTCCATATGCAAAATAAGAACTGGATGTCCCAAAAAATGCAATTTGAATTTTTAAAAATAAAACGCAGAAACGCAATCCAATTCTCAGGCACTATGAAAAACGAATTTAAAATTACTAAATGTCAGGAGGAAAACCATCATAAATTGAGCGAGATGGTAGCTCTTGCCCTAATTATGATAGTTCAGTTCTGCCCCCTCATATTAGAACAGGGTTCTTGAAGATATAAGGCTGCATCCAGAAGCAACAGACCCTGATCTCCTCCCTTCTAACAACAGCATGTGCAAAAACGAACATGGGATATCACAGCTCCTCAAGTTTCCCTGCCACACATTCAATTCATGGCTTGCTGCTTGCAGCCACAAAGAAACCGAGTGCAAGGGTGTTACATCAACTATTTTGCTTCCCTCCGCAACACCAGTGGAGAACAAGAGTAGAAGATATGGTCCAACAGGTTGCAGTAACAGCCATGTGTGCTGCTAGGCTCGCCAAGGCCTAGCTCCATCCTTAGAATAATCACTATCTGCTGATTAAAATATCAGGATAACTATGGTGTCCAAGACTGAGGAATTCCTACCGGTGAGCTGAAGACAGAGCAACTTTGGGTTGAGGTGGAGTCCAGTTTCTAGCAGAAGAAGTTTCAATTGACCATGGTTTACCTTCAGCCAATGAAGCCACCTTTAAGAAAAATATTCAGGATTCTTAGAAGAAAATGAAGCAAACCTAAAGGGTGACCACTTCCACTCTTCTACTTCCCTTATGAAAAAATAACACTCAGAATGAAAGGAATTAGACAGTTAGGCATCAATGACTCCTGTGTATTGAAGTCAGTATCTCTTATTTCTGAAAAGTCACAGACTGCAGGGACAGGACTGTAGACATTTAAATGTTTTATTCCAAGGTCTTCCTCATCTGCCTCAGAATTAAGAGCTTAATATTAACAGAAATGCAAGTTGAATCCATGTCTCTAAAACAGTCCCAGGTTCCACAGATGTTGAAACTATTGTTTAATTAAATTTACCTTATCCCTAAAGAGTGCTGCAGCTTTGCTGTTATATTTCTCTTGCAGTGACCAGCAAGGATCATAATCCTCTTGTGACTCTAAAAACTGACGGAATTTAAGATTGCCACCAGCCTTCATTTTCTCCAGTTCAATGTCTTTCCATTTGTCCATTGTGACAGAACGCACAAAGCTGAGAAGCAAAATTCATCCCATTATATACATATGCATACATATATCATTATAATTAAGCAGTCTGACAGGCGCACTGCAACAGAGGATTTCTGAAGCTCCTCTTATAAGGTAAGAAAGAAAAGCTAATTATGAACTCCAAGCAAAACAATCCTACAGAACTGAGTGCAAAAGAATCCATGGCACAGCTAACTTTGCTGGGCTCAAAGCCAGGGCTGAAGATGATGGAGGAGATTATGTCAAGTTGTTTCTTCCCAATTTATCCTCTCCCACCCACTTCCCATTCTTCTGAAGGGAAAGAAATAACTACACCAGCTCCAAAGCAGATGAGGTTGTCCTCTCACTGGATACAGGAAGCACGAGCTGTCAAAAGAATGGAAGGACTTTGGATCCACAAGATTCATGTCTCCCTTGATCTGGTCCTTGCACACCTCTCTGCACTGCCATTGCCCTTGGAGCACCAATGGTGGAAAAGCAATGGGGGCAGAGATGTGTCCTGCTGTCACGGGGATGCCTCTAGGGTAGTCCTCTTCCTCCGTCTGTGGCCCTCTCTCTACACATACAATGAGTAAGGTCCACAATATCCCAAGTTTTATGCTTTGGCTTAGAGTAGGTATGGGCAACAGGTGGCCCTCCAAACATTTGGACCTACAACTCACACCTAGACAGTATAGCCAATGGTGAGGAATCATGGGGAGGTGGAACGCCAGAAGCTGCCTTAAAGGTATCTCCTCCAAAGCTAAAACTGGATTTTAATTAAAGTGATGTACCTTTAATAGTAACATGTAAAAGGAATCAAGATGCTATCCTGAACTTTCAACAGTTTCACGCTGTAAAAATTTTTCCTTGGATATCTAGCTAAGGATCTTGGTCAGACCACCAAGCCCAAAGCTGTTGACACTGAGTGGCAGGGACTGTCCAGGGTTTCAGACAGGAGTATTTCTAGTCTTTTACCTGGAGAGGCACACGAAGCCAGTGTGCTACCACTCAGCCATGGCCTCCCTCATTAATTCACATTTGGAATGATAAGAATAAGACTTAAGTAAATGACAGGCTAATTTTTAATACAAAGTCACAGTTCCATTGCCTAACCTTTTCATATTTTCCTATTTTCTTGTCAAGAAAAATGTATTTTTCAACCAATGACTAACCTGAGATGAACACCCAAGCCTCTATGCTTTCCTGAGCATTCCAGGCAGATCCAGATTCCATAAGTCACACTCACCCACTGGGGGTTAAATGCACCACATTCAAAACAAACCTGCAGTGAGAAGGGGAGAAAAGGTTCTTTGTTTTCAACAAAAACTCCAGATGAGACAGTTCAAACTCAGATTAGAAAAGGATATCAAAATGTTAGTTTGGAGAATGCAAGCTTAGAATTGTATGCTAATATTGCTTGAAATGGGATGCAGGTGGCACAGTGGTTTAAACTGCTGTGCTGCTGGCTGATCGAAAGGTCGCCGGTTCGAATCTGCACAACGGGGTGAGTTCCCGTTGCTCCGTCCCAGCTCCTGCCAACCTTGCAGTTTGAAAGCATGCAAATGCAAGTAGATAAAAGGTGCCACTCCGGTGGGCAGGTAACAGCGTTCCGTGCACCTCGGTGTTGAGCCATGCCGGCCACATGACCACGGAGACTGTCTGTGGACAAACGCTGGCTCCCTCAGCTAGGAAACGGAGATGAGCACCGCCCCCTAGAGTCAGGCATGACTGGACTTCACGTCAAGGGGAAACCTTTACCTTTATTGCTTGAAAAGTCACTAAATAAGACATCTTCAGCAAAGAAACTGTATCTAGGTTTTGTTCTATTAGATTGCTTTCTTCATTGCTAATAGAAACAGATAGTATTCCATAATGTAACCCATTCTAGTAACTAACAGGGGTTTGTGATTCCACTCACCCCACCGCCCCGGACTGGCTACTTCAGGAAAAGCAGACACTCTCACCAAAACTATTTGCTTTCTTAATAATATGGAGAAGTGATGGCAGACCACTATTTAATGCAATCAAATGACTCAGATTAAAAATGGAAGCTCAGCGGAATTCCCCTCCATTCACACAGATCATCTCAACCACAAACTGATAAGAGAAAGTCTTGTGGGAGCATATACAGAACTAATCCAAACAAACCTACTGAGCACTGAGATCATCTTCAGATACCTCATTCTAGAGGTGACTATGAAGTTCTGAAGTTATCCAGTCAAGTTATCCAAACTGTGATATACAGATAGGTATCCCTTTGATATAAATTTTGCACAAACAAAAGACACATGAATTTGTTACAATAACTAGGTATTTTGTTTCCAGCAGTTCCAGACAAATTTTTTAACAGCACATCTGTATGCTAATAAAAGTATACAAAGGCAATTGTCTATCTGAGATGAAGGTGACTCACTGGTGCTTAATCATATACTGCTAAAGAATACACCAAACTGCTTACATTGTTCTCATCTTGCACTCTGACTTCTTTAAGGACCTTTCTTGTTCTTGGGCTTGCCATGGTCCTGCAAAAGAGAGGAAAATAAATGAATAGTCTAGTTATCAAAAAATATTGTGGTCCGGCAGAATAGTTACAGTAGATCACCACAAACTGTCATTTATCAATCATGAGAAGGCTGGGAAACAAACATGTACTCCTGCTTTCCTTTTTTCTTGGCATTCGCCACTGTAAGGTATTCCATTTAAAGCAAGGTCAATATTAACTAGGTACACTCAAAATGTTATTTTGAAACAAATCTGTCAAAGCAATTTTGAGGGAATGATGTTACTTTGGTGTACATGCAATGCCAAATCATGGTTTATGGAAAGGAAGAAAGGAGAAAGAATGCAGTTTCCCAAAGCAGGATGGCAATTTGCAAGGCACAGTTTAAAAGAGAACCATAGTTGTATCTGTACTATAATGTTAGCAGAACCAGCATTTTTCACTAGCTAAATGCTGATGCTGCATTAAAAATATTATCGAATTGGGAGCTTAAACTATCACTTAGAACAATTTCAGTTTCAAAGTCATCATAGTTATTGCTATAAACCAGTCTTTTTACCCTTACGTTGTATTTTCCAAACAACAATCTTTTACTTAGCACTTACCATTCTCAGCAGTGGAAATAAAGAAAAAATACCTTATCACAATAAAACTGTTAAACCCCCCCATTACTTTTAACATCAAGTTTTATATGCTGCTTGAGGTACTTTCATCTTTTATTTAAAAACCAGCAGTGGCATATAGTTTTGCAGCATAACTACAAGAAATTAATGTCCTGCAAACAGATTGGCCAATGCAATTAGTGAGGAAAGTTGTAGAAACTGAAGGATCATGTTATTATTGAGTAAAAACTGCCCAGACAGCTACAGTTGTGGGGCGGCATAGAAACAAATAATCATCATCGAAAGGTTGCCAGCTTCTTTGCTTTTCATTCAAGATTTGAAACATGCACTCTATTTAAATAACTGCCATGGAAAAATATTATGTCACAGGTAAGACTAGTAGAAAAACTGGGGAATTGCAACGAAATTGCAAGGGAAAACAGGGTAAAGGATGCTCCCGGACAAGGCATTCAAGGTACCTTCACCCTGCCTCATTCGCAGCAAGGCTAAATCATGTTGACTTCTGCTCATGACCTCTCTTACTGTTTCCTTTCTCTTAAACACAAATAATCAATTAAGACAAAAACAGAAGACCTAAACAGTGAAACAGATCACACATACAGCCCTGTGCAGACACCTGCTGTTTATTGTAAACAATTTCAGATCCATGTGATAAGAGGTTCTTCGCATGACAGATGAATCTGGACCACTGGATTGTTCAGGAGCTGATCAATATATCAGCTAAGCCAGTTTGTTGTTGCTTAACTGCTCCATTATATAGCTCCTAGACCAAATCTGCAAGTAACCCTGACAGCTTCCAGTCATGTTGATCAGAAGCTGCTTAAGCAAGCAGAAGTACCTTGCACACAGTGCGCATCCCATAAATAATGAGTTACACAGTCAACAGCATCTAATCGCTAACACCAGGAACCCTCTGTCTGGATGCACCAAAAGAGAATGATATTATATTTTGCTTGCCCTCCATCTCCTGGCTTCCCTCCACTTAAGTGACCATAAAATAGTTTTAAATAAATAAATGCATACATACTGACATCTCCCCACAATGTTTATGCATGTTGCTGTTTGAGTGGGGAAGGGGACTTGGGGTCAAGCAAGGAGATCCCTTAAGTCCCCAGCAATCCAATCTCTGTCATAGTGTCTAGCCCAGGGGTCGGCAACCTTTAACACTCAAAGAGCCATTTGGACCCGTTTCACACAGAAATGAAAACACCGAGAGCTGCAAAATCCTTTTGACATCTAAAATGAAGATAACACTGCATATATCATTTTTTACCTTAATGCTATGTATATCTTCATTATGATTTAGCTGCAGCTCGTGTTCAGTCACTAAAAACTGCTATTTTTAATCTTACATTGTAAACTAGTAGGACTCCTTTCATATATTTTGAATAGGAGAACAGTTTCCTGGAGAGTCAAATTCAGTGCTAAAGAGTTGCATCCATTAAACAGTAAACCCCATAAGTTTGTCAGCAGTAAAAGCAAATGTATCTACACACATATCATTAAACGTTTGGTTTTCTTCAGAAACTTTTCTTTTCTTCGATTTATCCACGGTTGGCCTATGGGGTGGGGGGGAGCTCAATAAATCTGCGCGCTGATCTGCAGATATAGGTGTGTTTAGTGACTGATTAGCAGATAAACAGTCAAGTGCTGTGAATTGTGACAGGTCCCAAGCGCAGCTTTTATCATTCAGAGGAAGGAGATGACATTTGGACAAAGAGACTCTTTTCAGCAGGGTTTGAGTGAGTAGCATGAGAGCCTGCAGGAAGCTTGTTCCACTCTTTCCCTGCACAATAGCAGAGGAATGTAGTGATTTACTTAACCAGCTAGCACAGCCTTCCTGACTGGATGCCCCATCACCTATTGGTATTTTGTAACTTGGCGCCTCGCCTGGGCGGCTGTGCCAGAGTGTATTTTGAGCGAGAGAGCCGCAGCAGAGGGGTTCAAGAGCCACATGCGGCTCCAGGGCCGCGGGTTGCCGACCCCTGGTCTAGCCTAAAGAATGCTGATTATGCAGGCTTGTACACTCGACCGAAAAAGCAAGGGCCTGCCACTTATTTGCCTTTGGCCAAACTTCCAGGCTCAGCCTGCTCTGGACTTCTTTCTAGAAGCTGTTCTCTTCTAAAAGATACATTTCTGGCAGACTGAGGGCGGTGCACATGTGAAAACTTCAGCCAGCAGAAGTTAAGAGGAGGACCTGTGATTCCTGCTACGTTTTTCTATATAGGGTTTTGAAATCAGCAGATGAAGAGCATATCCTTCTTTACAGGAAAAAATCCTTTTGTACAGGAAAAACATTCCCTAAGGAGAAAAGCTGGATGTGTAGACTACAGCCATGCTTTTGAACCCAAGTACTTTGAAGAACAAGACACTGGAGCCTGCAAAAAGGGATAGCAAGCCAATGCATTAATTCTTCCTGTATCCATGTTACAACAAACTGCACGGCAACAAATATTGAAAAAAAATGTTCAACCTTTAGAAAGAACCATGACAGCATATTCATGTTAATCTATACGAAGCTATCACTCACTGAATCAGAGCATTCTTTCTATCTAGCCCCATACTGTACACTCTGATCAGACAAGGTTCTCTAAGGCTCTGGACAGACATATTTTCCAGCTAAATGCAATTCCTTTAACTGAAGTTCCCCAAGTTTGGCTTGGGGATCAAACCGAAGACTTAAAATATGCACAATGTGTCCTCAGCTTTCACGTTATCATTCTTCTTTCTGTTCCCGGTATGCAGATACCGGTCTGCATGGGCAATTGTTACGTTTAGGTGAGGGCCAGTTAATATCTCACAGACATCAGTGCTTCATTCAAAACATGTACTACTCAATGAAGAGACATTGCTGCATCCACTGTACAAGACAAAGCAAGTTTTCTTTGGATCCAATTTTAATTATAACGGATTGTCCCCCTCCCAGCCACTGCCTGGTCCAATCAATTGTTTAGCTATTATTTCTATGCATCCCCTTGCACTCTTCAGTATCAGCAGAATTTCTGTTGTAAAAAATAAGTTATTTGCTGAATTTATTTCTATTTTGTTTTATAGCTCCAGCATTCTGTAGATGCAACTAATAATGAAGCTGTGCAGCAAAGTATGCTTCAAAAAAGGTACAGTACTGGGAAAGATTAGGCATATTGCAGATTCAACTAAAATTTTGCTATGTCTAATGGAACAAAAACTAAAATATATCTACATTAACAAAAATCAATCGTATGTAACTACAAAATATATCCATGCCTGGTGGGTTCCAGTTAGATTCTGGATAGCTTACTACTTATTAGAATGGTGATTTCCAAATGGTATTCTAAAGGAATTTCGTGGGTGGGTTGCTAGGTTGCTTTTGGTGGGTGTCAAGGACATTGAAACACAAAAAGATAAGAACGGATGAATATGAGGATGGGATTAAAAGGAGACTCCTAAACAAACATCTTTGCCTGGAGGTGGTCTGCCTGTGTGTGGCTGCAGGGAGATCTGCAAAGGGTAAACATGTTGAATAACTAAGCATGTCATAACACAAACAACACTTCTTTCTAAAAAATCTTTTCTGAAAGCCATTTCAAGCAAAATGGCTGTGAGCCAGCCAAGAAAGGCACATGGCTTTGGATCCATCCCTACAAGCAACTCTCTCTGTCAGTGCTCCCCAAATTTTTGACAGCAGGATTAAAATAGCAAGTACACCACTCTTGTACTCAAAAAAGGTAAAATATGTTACACACACACATGCACAAATGTACCAGCCTCCAGAATAGTGGGCAGCCATCCTCCTTCGAACATCAAGGTATTTAATGTAAGCCCATGATTGGACTATGCTCTCTGAGTAATGAGCAGTGCTTCAAGGATTAGGAATGTATCGATGCTTACAGATTGCTCTTAGCACTCCTAATCAAAACAAACTGTTCAGCAATTCCATCCTTTTTCCTTAACCAATTTTTTTGCTATAAGAAAAAAAGAAGAAACAGTGGGAAAATGTGAGAAGATAGTCTGGAGCTCCTATAAATGGAACGGGATGATGGAACAATAAAAGCTTCACTGGGAAACTCCCCATGAAGCTGCCCTATACCAAATCCAAACCACTGATCCATTTGGCTCAGTAATACTGACACTGACTGGCAGCCTCTCTCTAAGGTTTCAGACAAGAGCCTTTTCCAGCCTAGAGATGGCAAGGATTGAGTCTAGCATTTTTACATGTGAAACGTATGCTCTGTCATTGCACAGGTACAATCCTCTTCCATCCTTTGCAGCGTAGCATAAGGTGGACCAGAGAATCTCATCAAGTCTTTGCTTTCTTCCCAAAGGAGGCTACCACCACCCATATCTTACAAGGTCATGCCACTGACAGCCTTCCCATTCCAAAAGCTATGAAGTAGAAAATGCATCCAACAGGGTGGCTTGATTTTTTCAAGCTAGCTGTCATCCCCTCTCACAGCATAGTCTTTGGTATACAATTTGGAGACCAGGGCTCTGTGTATTAATTTAGGCTTTGCTCCACAATGCTCAGCCCATCTCATTATCTTAACAAGTTTCCAAAAACAAATCCTGACAAGCACAGCAAATCATGGGACATCTTTTCACTTTCATACATTGCTGGAGCACATTAGGCAGTGACAAAAAATAAGGAACATCTACAACTACATCATTAGAACATGAAAAAGCGCTGTACAAACTTTAGTATGGCAGCCTGCCAAAGTTGTGCTGTCCATCGAATTAACAATGATTGCTCAAAATGAAGAAGAAATGCTATCAATTATTATGCTCCCATTAAGAAAATGTAACATGACACACCACCTTAGAGCAGGGGTCCTCAAATCTTTTGAATAGGGGGCCAGTAGAAAGGTGCCAGGGATGGGTGCGGGCCACCAAGGCAGTGCAGTCGGGGGGGGGGGCGGGCCGGGGGGGTGCCCATGCGCGCACGCACAGAAAGACAGAGGCATGCATGCGCAGAGATCATTTTCTCCCAACGAGTCCAAAACGATCTCCCCCTCGCTCGGAGAAAAGGATCTCCTGGCAAGGCGCCGGCTTGCTCGCACGGAGATCATTTTCTCCAAGTAAATCCAAAACGATCTCCTTGCGAGCAAGCCGGCACCTCGCCATGTGCGCATGCGGGCCAGATCAATGGGAATGGCGGGCTGCATCCAGCCCGCGGGCCGCAGTTTGAGGACCCATGCCTTAGAGCATAAGAAAAGCCCTGTTGGAGTAGACTAAAGGTCCATCTAGTCCAGCACTCGGTGCACACAGTGGCGAACCAGCTGCCCACAGGATCCCTCAAGTAGGATGGGTGCAAGACCCCTCCCTGCCAAGCTCCTCAGCAACAGGTATATTCAGGTAGCACATACCTGGCAAGGCTAATAGCCACGGATAGCTTCCTCCCTCATGAATCTGTCCAATCCCTTTTTAAAGCTATCCAGACTGGCAGCCACCACCACTTCTGAGGCAGCAAATTCCACAGTTTAACTATAAATTGTGTTAAGAAGTACTTCCGTCCTAACCCTCTCCACTATCAGCTTCATGGGATGACCCTGGGTTTGTGTGTTATGGGAGAGGGAGAAAAATGTTTTCCTATCTATTTTCTCCACAGCACACATTACTTTAAAAACCTTTATCACGCCTCCCCTTACTCGCGTTTTTAACCAGGTGACGGTTAATGCTGGAATACTTCTTTCAGAGCTCCAATTCTTAGAGCTTGACATGAGCCCAGTTCATATGTCACAATAACTCCTATTTTTAAGGTAATTCTGAACACAGCAGCATGCTTGTGCATGCTACCCAATCCCCTGTTGTAGGTGAGAGTGGAGAATGTACAAATCAAGAACTTCTGCTTGACTTTTACAACAAGCTAGACTTCTTTAATTGCTACCACTTGAAATGGCAGTGATAGATCACTATGACCTGGACAACAGATGTATTCATATAAAACCTGATTTTAAAAGAAAAAAAAATCTGGGTTAATGTGACATGAGAACTGGGTCATTGTATTCTTGGTTTTCTTAAAATATTTTTAAGCAACAGGAAAGAATACAAACATGAAAGTTCAAGGCAGCAAAAGCAAAGGACAACAAACAGAAGAATGCAAATGGACAAAGATAAAAACAAAAGGAAAACACAGAAGCTTATGTTGAGATCCTCATATACCAGGAGGAAAATAACTGCAAACAAAAAAATGAGGCAGGAAGGAGACAAGACACATTCTGCCATGCAAGACCCTGGGATATTAGCCAGAGGAGTAGCTGGAAGCTACAATAGCTCATCATCTGTTAGGTGCACAGTAGCTGGTCCAATGTCCTTGGACATTCTGTTCAAGAGAGAAATGTCTGGACATAAGTGTCTGGACAAACTCACATGCTGCTGACAAAAAATTCTATCCTTCTACAGTCGTTATGAGAATGCTGTTTGACACCAAGGCTAAATATTCATCACCAAGTCAAATGAATGGTGACTGATTGCAGGTTGCTAATTGCCAGCTCTTACTTTTACGGCATCCTTGCTTTAAAGCATCAATTGCTTTCAAAACACCAGTTACCAACATACTTTATACAGCATTTCTACTGACATACAGTCATTACTCAAGGACCTTTAAACAGCATTCTCCACAAAGTGCAATCATTCAGAGATGAAAAAGAACCAGCCGTGGTTGGGTAGGAAAACCACTTATTAACATAATTCCTTCTTTTATGAAGAATCACTTTTAAAGTTCTGCCACCTTGGATTAGTTCTGATGTTCCAACGGAGCAGCAAGAGGTTGTGCAAATGGCACACAATTTGGTTTCCTAAGTTTCCAGCTCTCGTCCAGAAATGGCAGTGCCAATAAATGGATTGAATGTATCATGGAGCAGCAGCCACAAAGCAGTACTGCATCCCAGCATATATGGAATCCAAGAATACCTGCACTGATGCTTATGAGACAAAGTGCAAATGCATGGATGCAACCAGATAGAGGTTTTGAAATTGGAAGCATCATTTTTCCTCCTCCTTCAGAATATGTTAATGCCCCAAAAGAATGTGTGGACTACTGTATCTATGAAAGTTTGCTATTTGCACGATCAACATATTACCTTTTAGAAATGCACTATCTATGCTCTCTATGTACACGGAAAGACTGATGTTTATAGCCATTTGGGATTCTACAAGCTTGATGGTACTACTTGAAATATAAATTCTACCCCTCTATACATTAGAAAGAATTTGAGAAGGAGACAACCCTGAAGTAACGTGTCCGAAGGTGTAGATCTTTATCAATTTATGTAAGAGAAGAAGACAGTATATCCGTACAATTCATATCTGGGGGTTTTGCCATCTTTATTGGCAAGGCTACCAAATTAAAGCTCAGGTATTCTCGGACAGGAATGCAGAATCCATTGAACAACTGTAAATACCAACACATGAAGTTTACTAGCAGCACAGAATTGACAAAATATGCTTACAGGAAAGCCACACTAATATTAGACACTATCAGCTTTCAAAGAATAATAAAAGCACACACAAAAACAAGCTAGCTGGATCATGCTGGGAGCTGGAGCCCCTTCTACCCAATAAGCATTCATCTGACTTCCGCAACATAAGCCTTTTGTATGTACAATCCTGTACATCTCCCAGCCAATGTTTCCCATTCTGAAATCTGGTGAAATTAATAAGCTGGGTGATAGAACTAGATGTGTCATTTTATGTACATTTAACTGAAAGAAAAACTCAATGTTAGCTGGATGCTGGGAATTGTAGTCCAGCCCATCTGAAAGGCACCAGGATGGGGAAGGCCAATCCAAATGATCAAAGGTTGAAGAAGAAAAAAAACCCAGCCGTGGCTGTGTAATAAATTGACTTATTAACACAAATCATATGACTGTGGGGTTCTGCCTCACAGCAAAGCATCTTCTACAGAAAAGCATGGTGAGGTGGCAGTCGAAGTGTTACACTGGCAATTCTTGTCCCCTGCTCAGCCATGAAACTCACTGCGTGGCTTTAAGGTCAGGCACTGACACTCAGCCTAACCTCTTTCATAAGGATGCTATGAGAATGAAACAGGGAGAAAATGAGAGTATGCAAGCCACCCTGCATTCCTTGCAGGAAAAGGGGCAGTATCCAAACATAGCAAACAAATAAGTAAAATCTATTCACTCCCCTCTGTTAACTTATTTCTTCAAGGAAGAGTTCCTAACCTACCTCACAGGGCTGCTGTGAAGACAACATGAAATGAAGCCACCTCGTGCAAGCCACTAAGGATTCCTTGCCAGAGGAATAAAGAAGGTACACAAATGCAATAAGCCAAGTAAAATAAATGCCCACCTCCCCTGCCAACCAGGCCCGCGGGGGAAGCCCACCCCCCCTTCCCACCCTGCCAGCTTTGAAGGGAGCCAGAATCTGAACTCGGCGCCCCCATCCCCGAAAGGGGTAGGGGCGGGAGGGGTGATGATGTGGCCTGAGGCGCCAGCGGGGGGGGGGAGTCCGCGCTCCGGCCCCCTCCCTTGGAAATAAATGAACAAGTAAACGGTTCCCTCACTCAGAATAAGCTCGGGGTACGTACCCGACGAGGCGAGGGGCGCAGCGACAGCGGCGGCTCCAGACCCGGCAGACGCCGTAAACCCGTCCGTCGGCCTCTCACCCGGCTTCTTCTTTTCCCTTTTTTTTTTCCTGGTTTCCTCACAGCGCAGGCGCCGCCTCCGCCATCGCCGGCTACGTTGCCACTCCGCAAAGGGTTCTGGGTAGCCGAGGGGCGGAAGGGAGGAGGGAGGGAGGCAACGTCGACGGCTCGCGCTTGCCCGCGAGGCGGAAGCAGGAGTGGGTTGCGCCTGCGCCAATCTGCCCCTCGCGGTTCCCCCCTCCTCTTCTGGAGCTCATAGAGAACGTCCAACCTGCGGCAGGGAGAATTCGGGGGCCCTGTTTGATTGACAGGCAAGTCGAACAGGAGGGGCAGGAATTACGAAGGAAAAGAACGTTCGGCGGGCGGGGGAAGGCGAAGCGGACGCTGATTGGTTGCGCTGCGGGAGGCAGGAGGAAAGCGCTCCTTGGGGGGACACGCACCGGCTGTATAGAAGCTATACACGTGAAGGATTCTAAACGCGAAAGCCGGCTTCACATGTGCATCTCTATCTATGAGAGATACAGCAGACCTACATGTTTCAGAGCACGTTGGAAGATTCCTTGAAGAGCCATTTATGTTCTCATAGAATCAGAATAATTATATGTCATTATATGTTTTTCGGCGCCAGGTTAAGACCTTTTTATTTAATCAATATTTTAATAAGTTTTAATATTGAATTTTATCATCATATTTTAATTGCAGCCAGAGTGCGTCGTTAATTATGTTATGTTAGATGTTTGTGTTTTATTTGTGTAAGCCATCCTGAGGCTCTTGTAAAGGATGGCATAAAATATCTTAAATAAATAAATGAACTGGAAGGGGCTGGGAAAGACCATGGGATGCAAGGCCTGCTAGTGCAGGAGACCCGAGTTAAACATTCCTCTCAGATGGCGGTCCACTTGCGTCTTGAATGTGGGAGAGCCCATCACCTCCCTAGGGAACTGGTTCCACTGCTGTACTGCTCTGACAGGAAGCTCTTCCTGATGCTCAGCTGGAACAGGCTTCCTTCAAGATGAGTCCCTTACTCCTTGTCCTGCACTCTGGAATGATGGAGAAGAGATCCTGGCCGTCCTCCTTGTGACAGCCTTCCATGTGCTTGACAAGGGATGTCATATCTCCCTTCAGGCTTCTCTTCTTGAGGCCAAACATGCCCGCTTCTTCCCATCTCTCCTCCTAGGACTTTCTTTCCAGTCCCTGGATCCTCCTCAAAATGCTTTCCAGCTTGTCTGCATCTTTTCTAAACTATGGTGCCCGAAACTGAACACAGTACTCCAGATGGGACCTAACCAGTGCTGAGTAAAGGGGAACTTATCTGGCCAGGGCGACTTCTTTTATATTTAATATTTTTTATTTATTTTATATTGTTAATTTTAATTTTATATTGTTATTTTTGTATTTTATTGTATTTTACTGTGTTGTAAGCCGCCCCGAGGCTTCGGCAAGGAGCGGCATAGAAATGTTCTAATAATAATAAAATAATAATAATAACTAGTACTTCAGGTGATTTAGAAATGTACTTCTATTAATGCAGCTTAAATAGCATTTGTCCTTTTTCAGCCACGTTGCATGGTTGACGCCTGTTCGGCTTGTGATCTACAGCACCCTACTTGCTACCTCTCACCAGTTTGAGAAGGTACCATTGATGAGCACTCTTTGGTCCAATTTTGCAGCCAAAATTTGTTGTTGGCCAGATCACAGGGCCTGGCAAGATCATGTGTGCATGATTTTAATTCCTTGTCCATGCAAGGAAATAACAGGTTGTTGTTATTAGTTGCAAAGTTGTGTCTGAGGCGTCGCGACCCCATGGACAACATTCCTCCAGGCCTTCAAAACAGGTAATTTCAGCTCATGGTTGAACTGTACTTAGTATGTTGTGTACAGTGCGGGTCACTGCACCTGAACAGCACATTGTCGAGTTGGGAAAAGTACAGAAAAGGCCAAATAAAATGACCAAAAGGCTGGAGAGTCCCCATATGGGAAGCTAATAACAGCCGGGATAGTTTAACTTGGAAAAAAGTGAGTAAGGGGAGGCCTGCTAGTAGTTATGTGCTGTCGTCATCTCTGACATAAGGCAACCCTACGAGCGAATGCCCTCCAGAATGTCCAGTCCTTCACAGCCCCACTCGGCACCTGTAAATTCAAGATGGTGGCATCCCTTGTGGAACTGGGTCCGTCTCCTAGTTCATCTCCCTCTTCTTCTGCCTTCGACTTTCCCCAGCATGATGGGCTTCTCCAGGGAGTCCTGCCTTCTCATGACAGCCTTGGTTTTGTCCTCCTTGCTTCTGGGCAAGCTCTAGCTCGATTTGATCCGGGGCCCTTGTTCATCTTCAGCTGGCCCAGGACAAAGCTCTCTTCCAGCACCGTATTTCAAATGCATCGATTTACAAGAGTGTCAACGATCTTGGCCTCCAGCGAACCATCTTTGCATTGCGTGATCTTTTCTGGTTCCTTCATTCCTCCCCTTCCAAGTTTCGGCCTTCTTCCAGATTCTTGGCTGCAGCCTCCCTTTGCATTGATGACTAAGCCAAGGTAGGCAAGAGCTTTTACACTTTCAGTTTCTTCGTTCTTAATGGTAAAGATCTGTAACTCTTCTGTAATCATGATTTTTGCTTTCTTACAGTTCAATGGCAGTCCTGCTTTTGTGCTTTCTTGCTTCGCTTTTCCGTTATCGGGAGTTGTCTCACTTCAGTGCTGCTTTCTGCCGGTATTATCTGGTATTATCCGCCTATTTGAAATCACTGATGTACCTTTGGACAAATTTCACTCCTTGCTCTAACTCAAATTCAGCTTTTCTCATGAAATGTTTTGTGTATAGATTGCACAGATAGGGAAATAAAATACACTCATTATGCCAGGTGTGAAGAGGGTAGAGACTCTTTCCCCTTTTCCCATGATACTAGAACCCAAGGTCATCCCATAAATCTGATTGCTAAGAGACTCAGGACAGAGAAAAGCAGGTCCACCTTCATGAGGCACAAGGTTAAGTTAAGAACTTCACTTCCACAAGATGTAATGATAGCCACATATTTTGATGGCTTTAAAAGGGGATTGGACAAGTCCATGGACATGGTTGCTGGAAACTTGGGTGGGCAGATACTCTAGCACTTCTGTCCCCCCTCGGCCTGATCCATCATGGCTCTTCTTTTGTTTTCTGTGTCCCTCTTCCCTCACCTTTTTCCTCTTGTGCCTCATCTTTTTGATTGTAAACCTGCAAACATGGACTGCCTTGCTGTTTAGCAAATGAAGGACCTCCAGTTCATTATAAACAATCATAATTCTGATCCTCGCAGCCTCACCGTCTTAGTCTTATTACCTAGAAAGAAACCATCACATCTGAAAATTCAGAGGCAGTCCCCGAATCCATGGACTTGAATCCAGTAGCTGTAATCTGGAAAATAACCATTTATCCCCACCCTTTTGGCTTTGGAATATGTGTGTCACTCTGTGTTGCTTGAATGTACATGGTTTTTATCAACTATGTTTACAGTCTTAATCTTTGTAAACTACCCCCAGAGCTTCAGCTGGTGGGTGGTATAGAAGTGGAATGGATGAATGAATTTGGATTTTTCTTTCAAGGACAAACAAACAAACAAACATGGCCATGATGGGCACAGATGGTGAGGCTTGCAACTCAGGGCATCTGAAAGTCAGTTTAGACCAAAGAGGCAACCCTCTTTCTAGGTGTTTCAGCCTGTGGCAACACAAAAGGTATAAGAAATGTTCTCATTCATTCTTTAGCTGCCTCCTTTTATCAACAGTTGACTCCAAATAGGTGCACCTTGTAGGGAACAGTGAAATGTATGATGTGCGTTAAATGTGTTATTTCTGGAGTAAAATAAAGCACCATCTTCAGATCAACACCAGAGTTTCCTGTTAACATGTAAACAAATATATGCTGGGTTGGATACAGACATACACACACTGCAACCAAGTGTTGCAGCCTTCTCCACCCTGATGCCCTGGAGATGTGTTAGATCACAACTCCCATTCTTCCCAGCTAGCATGGAGAAAAACCCATAGATAGCTCTCCTCTGGGTGAAAGCTTTTTTGAAAATGGGATCATTTGATAGGGTTCTCATTTTCAATTGTACTGTGTATACCACTTTGGATATTAATGTTCCTATTTGAAATACAAAAGCAATGTGGTATAGAAATGTTTTTAAATACTTCCGTATTTTAACCAGAAGCCCCACCGGATTTTAGCATCTCTTTGAGCCCAAATTAGCAGAGGATTCAGTTGTGCCTCACTTTTCCTAGCCTCCAGGGGGCACTGTTGGGCAGCTGTTCTCATCCCCTCTCCCCAGGCCTGGCCTGGCAGAAAAATCGCATGGTTTTTCTTTCTCTGTAGCGCTGGTCCCTGCCTTGGCTAATTTACCAGCCAGGAATATTCACACACAGTCTGGACAACTCCATCCGTGGATGTGATCAAAATTGCCCTGAGTCAATTGGCAAACATTTTCCATGAGAGTTATGATTTACAAATTGCCTGGAAAAATGCATGCATGCGTGCGTGCACACGCACGCACGCACACAAACACCCCCCCCCCCAGTACTTGGCTAGTTTATTTTTTCAGTGCAGGCATCTCTCTTTGGCAGTGCAGTCAGGTGAATCTGCGTTAGGCAATGCTGCCCGCTGTGGACCATTCGGAGAGACTATAGCTCTATGCAGTGGTTCAGATACACAGTGGAATAGGCCTGGTTTGAAATAAATGCTTGGGACATACTGTGATTACAATGTAAGACTGCGTCCAACAACTGGTTTAAATAAATTGGGTTTTTTTCAATAGGACAGATCTAGTCTGTTGGCTCATGGCCCCACATTTTGTCTAGCAATCCTGTTGGCTGTGTTACATTGGTGTTCCCAGCGATGCTCCTATTTAAACATGCTTCCTGTATACCTGCCTTGGAGCACACCTGTGCTGTTCCCAGATACTAGTGCACAGGTGTGTAATAATGTATATTTCTCCTTCTCATTATGCATGCTGCAGCACGCAGGAGAGCCAACTCAATAGTGGAATAACAAGGTTAAAAAATGCTAGTTTACACTGAGTTCAAGGTGGGATTTTTATTCAGGGTTGTTGG